ATATAAGACTCCTTTTAAGGACATATACATATATTATATTATGAAAATTATTATAATTTATATGCCACGGGTTTGCAGTTTAGGAGGGTATATTACAAATAAAAAATATTAAACCGTATGAAAAAAAGAGATAAAGATATTATATATGCATATGTATGTATGAGTATAGAGATAGAAATATTAAAGATAGAAATTCTTTAATTTACGTTTCGTTGAATTTAAGAAAAACAAGGATTAGTGAAATAAAACAAAAACATAAAAATTAAAAAAATACAAACAACGCGTGGAGGCGTCCTTGTCAATTGGTTTGTTTTTTTTTTGCATAATACGTGTAAGTAATAAAGTATCTAAGGTACATGCATTAAAATAATCATTAACATTTCCAACACATTTTATATTTTTTTAAAAAGGTAAACATTACCAGGCAATTAAAATAAAAGTTAATGGACAATTTTTGATAGTTATTTTTAAATATTTGAAAAAAAAATTGGCAAATCAAAACTCAAAGATCCGTTGGATTTCCTGGCAAATAAGACAATCAAAACAATGAATCAGTACTACCAACATAGCATTTAACAAAAAAAAAATAAAGGAAATATTAATTTTATGTAAATTCAAAATTAAAAAATTTTATGTAGTTTCAAAAAATTTAATTCAAGGTAAAAAAATATAGATTTATACTACGTAGTTTCATTATATTTGGTGATATTCAAAAATATAAAAAATATATATTGCATGCTTTTCGGAGGAAACACAAAAATTCAAAAGGGTCTTTAAAAAAATAGTCAAATTCGAAATTGAAATTTTATTAATTTTAAGAGGTAATAATTCAGAAGAGGAAAAAAATCGAAAAAAGACCTCTTCTTATAAATTAAATAAATCACCAATATGTCTAGAAGGAAGGTTCTAAGATTTCAAATTACTACAACTTAATATAACGATTAATTATAACACCATTTATACTTCCCAAGTCTACTGAATATTTTTTGACATACGTATCAATAAAAAGAAAATAAAAAGGCAAATTACGTCGAACTTTAGGAAAATCTCAATTTTCAATTGTTTTTTTTTTTTTTGTTTTATAATAGATCGAAATCGAATTATTAGAAACCTATAAATGCTAATAAATAATTATCGTGCCTACGTGTGTATGTCATGATAAAATACAATAATATTAATTTATCAATAATGCGTACTAACTTTTTTCGATATAAAAAATTCTTTTATTGTATATAATGTAATATGTATGTATATGTACTTGCAAGAAGATAGATATGGTAAGTACATAATTTACGATCATAATAATAGGAATAATAACAATAGTTTTTCCAACAAAAAAACAAGAAGAGAAAGAATTCAATAAATTTTCATAAAAGTAACAGTAATTTGTAATTGAAGAGTTCACTTAACTAAAGTTTAGCTACGAACGAACTTATGATAAAAGTTTATTTATAATCTTATATTATTTTGAAAATTGCATATACATATGTACATATATGTATGCCTTATTAATGTATGTATTATATTATAAGCTTTAACTTAATATTAGTACTTTATGTAGTATATTTAGTTAGTATGATACCTCATCTCAGAGACGAGTAATAATTTAAATTTTCAAGTTACATTTTATCGAAAAGCAAATCGAGAGATAATATTTCATACGAGTATTCACTTCTTACTCCTACTTTTTTTCAATATTATGTTTTATTCATATGTATTGGCGTTTATGTATGTATGTATATGTAAATGATATAAGCTCTTTGTAAATGGTTTTAAGCTCTTTCAGTTTTAAATGATGTAAAATGTAAATTTGAAAATATGCAATTATAATAGAGTGTTTAAAACAATACTTGTATCATAATGTGTTCTTGTATCATACTTGTATTAAATTGCAATTATTTTAGGATTATTACAAAAATATTAGTAAAGGTATACATATATTAGATTATATAAGTGTTATAAATAATTATAAAATGCTAGTAACAATAATTTTTACATAGAATGTCTCTTTTAACCTTAGAATCTTTGAGATTCTAAGGTAAAAAGAGCTTTCATCAGCAATTATACAATTATTATTTGATGTTTGTCAGGATTTAAAGATAAAACCAGCCTACCTTTTAGTTCTAGACTCAATTTTCTTTTGTTATTATTTTATTAAGATTGCAAGTTTTTATCTTATCTTTTAACATTTTTTATTCATCCACCCACGTACAATAATTTCACAATATTACACAACACATGTGAATAAGAGCTTAACTATATAAATGCGACAAAATTTCTAAAATTACTACTTTTTAAAATTTCTTTTTCTTTTCTTACTTTCAAACGTTTGCAGGCTAAAGTAAAGTCTTCATACCATTGATTACAGAAATTGAAGAAAATTTGGTTATTGATAGTATCGATATCTATTATTGCTCTAATATGTATTATTGCAAAAATAGTGCATCCATCAACGGAATTTATTTGTTAGATTTATACATACATAATATTATTTACATGTAAAAAACATTTAGATGTTTATTAGATGTTTATTTTTCAGCTTTTTAATTTTTCACTGCAAGTAAAATTATAAAACACTATGGGATTTCACAAGCAACTCTGAGATAGGCAATCATAATTATGTTTGTACTTACATATGTAAGTACTCAAAATTTTATAGCAATATAGTTATACTAAAATTTTCTATAAATTTCAAAAGCCCTTGAAGAGTGTTTGAGACCAAAATATGAAAAATTATAACAATTTATTTTTATACAAAACATATGTACATATTTTTTAAATATTATAATAAAGTAATTTATAATTATACATAAATCGATACGTATACATATATACATATGTATCTAAAATATGTCATACAAAGTATATAATATGTTTAAAAGTTTTATATAGAAAAATATAAAAAATTCTTATCGTTTTACAAAACACTGACCTTAATTTACTTATATTTATATTATGTACATTCGTACACATTATTATTTATAATAAGTAAGTATATATAAACGTACATACATATATACATAATATACTAAAAAAATACAAAAAAAAACTGTTTTTTGTTATAAACCGGTTAAAGCTATTCCGGAACAAATTCATTTTCGTTTTCGGAAACAAGAGAAAAAAGATTCTCTCCTATAGGTATTATAAATTATTTAAGAAACGCATATAAAATAGATTACAAAAATGTTAATTAATTCTAAAAAATTTAACGCATTGCACATGTTATAAGTACGTACAACAGTACATATTTTTGAAAAATTTTGCCGAAATTCAATTCATGGGTACACATATGTAAGTTAAATATCCTTGACCGAAAAAATCATTATTAAATTTGTAAATATGTAGGTACATACATATATAAAATTTATGTACTAATTTAGATTAAAAAGTTATTCGATTTTTTTTTTAATAACTATAAAGCTTCAACCAATACTTTTCCAAACGATTATAATATTGTAAATTGTATATAAACTCATAATATATTTAAATACGTACAAAATATGTAAGTACATAATGTATAAAATATCTAAAAACGGGAGTCTACATTATATATTCGGATTTTACAATGTGCAAGCACATAAATATGTAAGTAAATGTGTATGTATCAAATATATTATATAGAAATTTTTTTTATTACATACAAATATACAAGCAAAATACACGTTAATATATAGTATTGTTTACCAATTTATTTACCTTTTGACTCTTTTTTATTATTTTTACTTGTATTTCTGATATCTAAAAATCAATAATAAAAGCTCTAATATACTATTATTTGTAAACAATAATTTATTCAAAAATATTTTCGACCATCAAATTAATCCCAAAAAATATATATGTATATATATATATGTATGTATAAGAACAAGTAGGTAAACGTAAAATAGATAGTGTGAGTATCTTTAAAAATGTATCTTTTTTTTATAAAATATGTGTGTATATGTATAATAATGTATAGCTCAGTTCAGTTTTGTTTACCTTCTCACTAATACTTTTACAAACCAACACAAAAAAGAAAATAAAATATGATTCAGTGTTCTTACCTATTTTTCAAATGGTATCAAACTTAAATGAAGTGTACTATACATGTGATTAATGTAATACATTAAAAATAATCTTATTTCAATCTACATATATGGGATTATAATATATTCTAATAAATTTTATGATTTAATCGAAAATTTTAATATTTGAATTACAATTATTATGACTAAGACAAAATAATGTTGTAAATATTTATTCAATTGAATTTTCATAATTATGTTCTCTGAAAATTACATAAAGGAGGGCACAAATAATATAACACGTTTATCTTATCAAAAAAAATTATAAGAACAAATTTTTATATTCGAATTGTATTTTTTTTATGTTATCTGTGTCCAAAAATAATAGTAAAAAGTTTTAATGTGAAAACTCTTTCAATTCAAAACTTTTATATATTACTTTTATATAAGTATCTACTTTTATATACTTAATATAAATTATATAAAAATAGATACTTGCATTACCAAAACTTCCAATTAATCGAATTAAGACAATCCGCCTGAAGAACGATTAGTAATTTATAAGTAATTTATAAAATACATAGTAATTTATAAATAACTTTTAATTTTATTGAATAAAAAATTTGTACAATATAACAAGATTTAAAATGCTTCAAAAAGGGTTTTAACTACACAGTAAGAAAGCAAACAGCGTAGTGAAATTGAGACTACAATTCAGTCATTTTCAAAGTTTTACACTGCGGTATTTATAATCCAGTTAAACTTTAGTAAAACTTTTTCCACTGTATTTTGGATGTCGCGATAATTACTTCAAAAATATATGGTCGAAAAAATATGTATCAGCAAATTGTATCAAATATTTTTCAATGAAATTCACAACTTTATTTTATTTTGTATAATATTTCAATAGCGCAATATTTATTTTATTTTTTTTTAATTTCTCTTTTTTCATATAAAACTACCTAACAGAGAAGAAATAGCTAGCATTCGTTGACTGAATTTCAGAGAGTCTAGATATAAAGAAGCAGCAAAAATAAGGAATTTTCGTACGTTGAAAGAGTCACGTACATAAAGAAAATATATACAATAAAAAAATACTACGTTATACATATATTTATAATTCATATGTATATATATATATACTGATTATATACACAAATACATTTTGAGACAAGAAAGAGTGATTTTCACCATAATTTTTATAAAGACAAGACGATTAAATACAACAGCAATTTAGCAAGCAAATATATAAATAGCAAAGGCAACAAATATCTTGTTTTAGTTGTATATTAAAATCTAAAGCAAAAAAAAAACGTTTTGCAAAAAATTTTCGATGAAAAAATAAATTTTCTTATTTCAGAAATTTTTGTGAAAGTTATTTTGAGCACTTTATAATTTTTTTATAAATATCAAACAATTAAAGTAAAAAAATAATTGCACATAAAAAAAATTTGGATATAATTTTTTTTTAATTAACTTTTTCTTTTTCTAAATAAATTACAAATTTACACACCTTTAAAGAGGTGTCAAAAAATAAAGTTGTCGGTTATTGCAGATATGTAAATTAATTTCAAGATATTTTTAACAAAGTTGAATGTACTTAATATTTTACTAATCTACAAACAATTTTAAAACAATAAAATAAAAAAAATAAGGAACGATATAAATAAATAAAATATATATAATAATATTCTTATTACATAATATATATATAATATAATAATATATAAAAATACATTTACATAAGAAAATCATCCTATTGGGATCGAAGAATTAAAAAATTAATTTTTATATACATACAAATAATATTATTGGAAGTTTTTTTTTTATTAAACACATTCCATGAGTCCGAATTCGGTAACATCTACTACAGCAGCAAATGCTCGAAGTCCAACTAAAATAGCGGCATCCCAAATCTTAAATAAAACTCAATCATCAACAACAATGCAAGAAAAGAAAATAAATCGTTCAAATAGCTTAGTTAATACTGCCCTTAAATGGATACCATTATTAAATCAACATTATAATAATCATAATGGCAGTGGAAATAATGTTATCGATGGTAATGGTAGTGCATTAAAGCAATTTGGTAGCACAGTTGCTGTTCAAAAATTACGTGAATCAAAATGGTTTAATTCCGATGAACAGAGAATATTTTGTGCTGTTATTGAATGTGGTTTTATTGTTGAAATACGTGGTGAACAAAATTCAACTTCATCATCATCAACAATATCAGATGATGAAAATGATAAAAATGATGATACACTGGACAAAATAAATAATGAAATAAAATTACAAAAAATTATACCACCATCGACATCAAAATTAATAGAAAATTATGATAATGATCAAATATTTAGTAATAGTAGTTCAACAGCAACATCATCAACAACGAATTCATGGTTCGGTGTTGTATTATGTAAAACATTAAAAGGTAAGATATATATAAATTATATATACTTCAATATATTAATAAATAAAATTTATATATAAGAATAATATAAATATTTTTATATGTACAAGTATATTTATTATGTTTAAGATATTTCGTTTTGTTTTTTTATGTATAATTTATATATATATATATATATATATATATGTATACATAGTAAAGTTTATTATAAAATTTGCACACTTATGTCAGTCTTATTATTTATATTGTAACATAAACTTAAAGTAATTAAAAAAAAATTTGTAAACATTTTAATGAGCAATAATTGTTTAAAGAAAATATAAAATTATTAATTTAATTAAATTGAAGTTAATTTACAAATTTTGATATTAAATATTTAAATAATAAGAGTGACACACGTGTTTTAAATTAAATACATAATATGTGCGTTAAGGAATTGAATTCGAAAGCTGATTTTTTTTTTCTATTGCACTGATATTTTTTGCTCTCAAAATTTTTCCCTTAAAAAGTTGATGATTAATAAAAGGAGAATAAATTCTGTCTTTTCGGAAAACAAAATTAAATTAAGAAATCTCATTAAATCGTATTTGGTTATATGAATTCCAGAAATTTCGAGACATCATTCTTTCTAATTTAATTAAGAATTTATTCTCCTTTCAGCATGTTTGTTTAGTTTTTTTCATTAATTCTTCAATATATTCTATTAACTTTTTTATATTTTTAAAATATCGTATATTAAACAAAATTTCATGCAAAATTCGCATAAAATCCCTTCTGATCTATTATTATTAATTTATACTAAATAAATATAATAAAACTTATAAGTATTTTGTATATTAAGATCAAGCATATTTTATTTTCTAACACTCATTATACTCATTACTAATTGTAAATAATCATCGATTACTGTTGAGTTCTTAATGAAAACTGTGCAAGTAGTGATTTACAAAATAACTAAAATAGCATTTATACATATTTATAATGTATAAACCATTTTCGTATTATTTATATTTTAGAATTTAATAACGTAAAATATGTATGTAGGTATGTTATCGATTTAGTTAAATAGAAATAAAAATTATTAAAAATTTAGAAGTAGAGTTTTAAAAAAACTTGTTTGCAAAGTTTTGTTTAAGAAAAATAAAAATCGAAATTCAGGTTTTATTGTATGTAAAGAATAAAATAAATAAGAATTTAATAGAAATTATGCTAATAAAAAAGTTTGCTTTAGAAAGAAAGCCTAATAATGCTTTCTTTCTAAAGCAAACTTTTACTTTTTTCTTTTAGAGATATCACAATAATTTGAGGTGCTTTAAGTGAACTGCATACATTTGTACATATTTTAATATAATTATTGAACTTACATACATATACATACACACATATGGGTACATATACTTAATTTTTCCTTTTTTTGTATTTAAAACTATATTTTTTTTTTATTCTATACTACTATCGAAAAAGTAAATAATTCCAATTTGAGTCCAGTTTTTTTAAGAAAACTATTGTTGATGATCGCTATACACAATCATTATAATGTCAAACTTTAATGAATTCCAAAATAAAAGCATTCATTATTATATATACATATTAATTATAATATTATTTTAAGTAAGTGTTTTGTTTGAATCAAAATGTATAAAATTTAATTTCATACATTTACATTGAAACTATTTAAAATCAACTAAATTTATTTATTAAACGGCAAAAACGAAAAAAATTAACATAATATATGTTTATATAAAAAAACATACATAATATATGTTTGTACATAAAATTATGAAATTCACTTACTTATACAATTATTTAGAAGAATATACAATATGTGCACATATATTGTAAAATATTAAGCCACATGTGTAATGAATAATATGCAAATGAAAAATGCATTTTCATGGTAGATAATTTGCATTTACAGTACGTTATTATGTATATATCTTAAAACATGAGTCCATAACGTATGTATGTACATACATCATATGTAATCATGTGAAACTGATTTTGATTGGGAATGAAAAAATTGAACACAAAATAAAATTTTCTAGCATTTTTATATCTATCTTAGGTACATTAATGCAAAAAATTGGAATTCGAACTTAAATTGTACGAAAAAACAGTTCTCGCAAAAGTTTTACTCGTTTAAAATAAATGCAAAATATTTTTGTTTTTCAAACCATTAATTTTAATACTATGTGTATGGGAGTGTGTATGGTATGCATACAGTATACCTACATACATATAAATGTAAGTGTACCCATGTATGTAATAAAAATGGGTATACATATAACCATAATAATGTGTATAGGAACTTGGGCATAACTCTCTATATACATACATAAATATGTATGTACAAAATAGATTTTGAAATATTGAGTAATGTTCTTTAGCACGTGTCCATGTCACTTAAAAATTAAAAAAAGTAAATATTTAGTTGTTATTCTGCCAAATTTAATTTTGGTTTTTTTTTCATAAAGGAAACTATTTCTCTTTTCATTATTTACTTTAAAAAAACAGGTATAAAGGAGCGCTATTTAATTGGTTCGGGAAATTTAATATTGGTGCCCAATAAATTCTAATCTAAGTCAAACTTTTAAAAATCTATAATGCAATTAAAATTGAAATTTTTTTGAGTATTTAAGTTAGGCTTAAAATTTATTTATGTGTACATACGTAGGTATAGTCAGCAATAACTTTCATTAAATTTATATTCTTTAGAATTTTCTGACAAACGATAATTTATATATGTATACATACATAAGTACGTATCAACTCAGTACACAAATATTAACATATATATTTCGAAAAAAATATAGCTATGTATGTATATAATAAAACGCTTCTATTTTTTTTATGATATTTTATCAAATAAGTAGGTTTTAATTACGTTTCAGTAATGTGCAATCAATGAATGATTGCTAAAATGAAGATTACATTTTTTTTTATATTTATAACGTTTACTATAAGTAATTATGGAATTTTACCTAAAATTATTAAATTAATTTTATTTATTTATGTCACATGAATTAATATACATACATACTATATATTATTATTTTATTATATTTTTAAATGCTAGTTAAATCTTTATCTATTAAAAATTTATAATAGGTTTTAAGGTTATAGAAATTAAAATTGAATTAAAATGTGACAAATTAATGTTAGGGGAACTCAATATAAAATTAGCTAATTACTTTTAATAAGTACATATTTGTAATTCTACCCAAAAGTTGAGAAATGTTAATTTCATGAAAAATGAAATTCATTGCTACACAAATCTTACAAAAAAAAAATTATTTTTGTAATACCTACAAAGTCAAAAAAAAGTTTTAAATTAATTTTGTTTTTCATTTTCCGTTATTATTTATTTTAATACCTGCATTCCTACATTCACATAAAATTATAACATAAAACTTCAATACGAATACAATTAATGTAGTCCAATATGAAAAACTAACGCACCCAGATATTGAATTTTAATTTATTATTACTTTACATACGAGTACTCGTATATTGATAGGTTATTGACACTATTTTTAATTGGTAAAATGATAAGATTTTTAATATAAATAGAAAAATGTTTCATACATATAAAATGCAATGTGAATTTCAATTTAGTCAACTGTATTTAAAGAATTATGCGAAAGAAATGTGTGAAAAAAATAAATGAAATATGTAACTTAAAAATGTTACATTCTTTTTCTTTCAATGCAAAACTCGTATTGAACAATTTCTTAATAAATAAATTTTGTTTAGAGAAAAAATGTAAATAATTATTGTGTATTTAAAATAAATTCGATTAATGAAACACTTTATACATATGCATTTCTTTTCTGATTAGCAAATTTAGTTAGAATATCTCATTTAGAATTTGTATGTATTTATGTATGTATCACAAAAAAAAAAATAATTTTTGTAAACTACTTTTTAAATCTCTAACCACATCAATATATTTCTTTTCTATTTATTTTTCAGATAAGACTATATTAAGTCTTATCGCATTGACATTAACATAATTGACATTTGAAAACCACAAAAGTAAAAAGTATGGAAAATTTCATAATCAAGAAGAGAATTAAATATACAGCACGAATATATTTTTAATTAAATATACAGCACGAATATAAAAACGAATCTGTCAATTTAAGAGCATTACAAATTACTAAATGACAATTAATAAATTGACTTATAATAATATTATACTGCATGGAATATGTTTTATCCTTCTACCTCTACTTCCTTTCGTTGTCTTTGATTATAGAAATTACATTAAAACTTTTTGATTATTCCTAGTTCTCCTATATAATGACGAATGTAACATAACAATTATTATACTATTTTTATCTACATATTATGTACATTTATTTGAAACATAACCATTGAACATACACTGTTTTATAACTTTCTTATGTAGTTTTATTAAATTAAATATTAATTATTTAAATAACTTAAATAGCAAAAATTTCAATAATTTTTTTTCTGTATAACTGTACGTTTATTACATATTTTAATAGATACATATTTTAAAAACAAAAAATTCTCTATTATTTTATTTTTTATCATTTGCATGCAGTTTGATAAATTTAAATTATTATTGTTCATATTATTCTACTGTAGAATTCATTATACATCGTTTTATCACATTCATTTATCACAACAGCGACAAATTTTTAGCAATAGAAACATTTTAATTGTTGACATTTTATTTACTTTTAACCAAAAATATTTTATTATAAATTCATAAATGCAAATTGGTCGTTAAACCTCCCTCTTCAATAACTAAAATTTAAAATTCACTAAATTTAATACATAAAACACAAATGTTCAACTTCTTTTATCTTTTAACAGACTTTACAAAATTAAAGCTCTTTTTTGGAATTTTATTTTGATTACTAATGTAATAAATAGTTGTTTCTCAGTCGAAAAGTTTCAAAAGTTTTTAAGTATTTTGTATACTTAATAAGCAAGAAAGGCAAAAGATTTACTTACTAAATGTTCTAACACTTTCCATACTCAATTTATGTCCATTTAGCAAACGTAAAAATGTAAAAATTAATTAAATTTGCAAAAAAAAAAATTTAATTTTTTTTAGAAATATCGACTGAGAATCAAGCTGTACCCTCTAGTTCTGTATGGACCTTCGGCACTATTCTCCTTCTTTGTTTTTTTATCATTTTATCTTTTTTGAGTTTATTTACCATAATTTAAGAGTATACTTTTATTCATATAGTGTTAATCAACATTTTATTTATATACTAAGTTGTAAAGAAAATATAATTTAACAAAACCAAGAGCGAGTTTTTATTCTTAATTTTTTTTAATTACTATCGACATTTTATACTTGAATAAAGATACCACCTTTAAATTAAAAATTGTAATAATTTAAATAGAAAAATTATTTTAAAATAAAATAAAAAAAGAAAAATTAAGATTTAAAAATTCGCAAAACTTATTACTTTTTACCTTATTTTTTTTTGTTTGTTGAATTAAGCAAGAAAAAATAAATATTGAATTTATCTTTTAAATTTACTTTTAATAAATTTTCAAAAATATAACTTTATACCTCCGGTTTTTCCAGATTTCTTAAATTCTTAAGAGAAAAACTCTTTAGTCGCAATATGATTAAAATATTTACGGTATTTCTCTGAAGAGTCAGGGAGAAATAATATAAATAAATATATTGATAAATATATAATAAAATATATAAAGAGCAAATAGCGTTCTCGACATAAAAAGAACGCTTACTTCAGATATATAATATATATCATATAATTAATATGAGAATAATTAATACAAATATACGCATATATTATAAAATATTAAATATAAAATTTTGAATACTCTCATATTAAAATATTTTTAATAAAATATATATAAAATCAGAAAATATATACATATAATGCTGATAAACACTAAAGGATGTGATTGTTGCTACCATAGAAATTATGTAGAAAAGTTTCCGAATGTAAGAGAATACAATGTTTCGAACGTTTGAAAACTGAAAAATATCGACATACTACCTATTAGATTACAAAAACACAAATAAAAATCAAACCAAAATAAAAAAAAGTTGATAAATGATTTATATTTTTTTCAAATTGTACTTTTATTTAATAAATTCTCATTACAGATAATAAACCAAAACCAGACACAATAGAAATATTTTCAGTGAAAATTCGACAAAATGGTGTTAGAGTTTATAAAACAACATTGGAAACTATTTGGAATAATAATTGGCAAATTCGTATAAATAATTTTGCTGATCGTGAAAAAACACCACATAACGAGAAAGATATTAGAAATCAAGTATGAATTTGTTTTTCTTTTTTCTATTTTTTTAGTTTACTCCAATCTAAATAATGTTAAAATTGCGTTTAAAAGTTTTAATTTTTTGTTGTTTCTTGTATATCTCAGAAAATATTTATGTTTAAAACATGTTTTATATTGAACAATGTTCTAAAATAAATCTTAAATTAAATCTTTGAATTATATTATAGATTGCTTAAATGTTTAATAACAATTTGGAATAAATATAAATATATGCACGTGTGTACGCATATGTATTCCATGTATATGTATACATCAGTTTTTAAAATTACCTCTAAAAGAAAAAATATTTAATCAAATTAGCTACTTATAGTTATTAAATTTTCGATTAGATTTTCAAAGACAAGCGTTTAGTTTTTCATATTTTTTTAAAATAATATACTATTTATCCAAATAAAATTTTTAATTTTGAAATAATTTTAAATACATTCAAAACTTTTAAACTTATTTAGAATTTTTCAAAATAATGAATAAACAAAAACTGCAGAGAAATCCGGTGGTATGTTAATTTGGCATTCCTTGTCAAATTAAAAGTTAATGTTCAAAATTGATAAAATAATTGAAGTTCTAAAATAATTGAAATTTTCATTTTAGATATCATTCGCCCGTAAAGCAAGATACAGTTTATGGCATAATTCAAAGCATTTCGCTTATTGGTGTAGATATGGGAGTCGGCAACAAGATGTTCGGAAAAGACAAGTAAGTCAAATAGTACTGATTAATTCCAGCGTTGTATTAGCGAATTAAATGCATTATAATAATTTAAATGCTATTTTAAATACTATAAGACTAATATATTTATATTAATGTACGTTATTTAGATTTTAATTTAAGTTAAAAGTTTAATTAGTTTATCTAAAAAATAAAAAATTATTCTATTTTTAATCGTTTATAAGAAATCTCTTTGTATTTTTAATTTTGTTTAAAAAAAAATATTTCTTTTACTAAATTGAACTATGAAGATTGAAAATAAATGCAGATACATATAATTTATATCAATTTAAATTATTTATATTTTTTTAATTTATTTGGGAAAGTTATTAGACTAAAAAAAAAGGCAATATCAAGCATTTTAAGTTTATACACACAATATGTATGTACATATGTATCCGCGGCAAAAACCTATTCAACGGCCTTTCCTTAAAATGAAAAGAAAAAACTACACAACTTTTACGCTTAACTTGAATGAAAAACTTTATTAGAAGCTAATGCCATTTTTAAAACTTTTTTAAAAGCTTATAATTTTCAAAGTTTTTGATAATTTCAAAGTGAAATAATATATAAAAGGCGAAAGATACTTCATAAAAAGTTAAAAGTTTTGAACAAAAGAACTCTAATCAAAGTCGAAATATTAAATTTTGTCATTACATAGATACTTATATTAAAAACAAAATGGGAATGAAAAATAGAAAAATTATTCAATTCGCTCCTAAAAATAGGCTTTTTCCCATTTTCTTAATCGGTAATTTGCTAATGGTTTTTTATTCCGTTTTCGGATAACATGTACGATGTACACACTCATATAGGAATGCAATTTAACAGTAAACTGTTAAATCTACGTATTTATAATAATAAAACGTACATAAATATGTGTATATAAATTTATAGAATTTTTTATGCATATTTTTAAAAAAATTAAAATTATTTTTATATAAAGATTTTAAGAAAAAACATTTATGAATCATTTAATGAGTAATATTCAGTATGTATAGCTATAATAAAATTATTTTAAATTAGTTAAAAACCATTTTCTACAATTATGCGCAACGTAAATAATTTTAAAAGTTTACGTAAATTTGAATCTTTTGATTCTTAATTTTTTGATCTTATAGGCATTCATTCTTTTGTCTTATAATTTTGAATATTTTAGTTTAACGGCTTTCTTTTTTTTTGCATTACCAAAACTCATATTTGTTATATTTATGTATATATATATATGTATATATATGTGTATAATTTTCTCTTTTAGATGTCCGAATGTGTCAAATGGGGAAGTGTAGGCATGAATGCCGGAATGCTCTTAATTATGAATAACAGACAAAGATCTTACACTACATCTAAATGACAAACCTTATAATTTATAATATTAACTTAATAAATTTGTTGAAGCTTTTTCAGAAGCTTATAAGTCATATATATTCTATTCATTTTGAATATTTAATGTTATTTTTTGTATTAAGTATATGCGAAAATTTGTTTAAAAATATTTGTTTTATTTATAAAGTCAACAAAATATAAATTATAATTGTATTAATTTTTTTTTTCTTTTTGTATTGTATTATTTTCTTTAAATATTAAGAAATTATATTTTTTTATATAATTTAAAGATAAAGAAAATTTTCTTTGAAAGAAATATTTTTTTTTAAATCAAATAAAATTTGATCCTGTATTATATAATATAGAAATTTACTACGCTTTTTTTAAAAAAAAAAACAATATTACGACTTTTTATATTTATAAATTATAAGTTCTAATGTTAAGTATTTAAATAATGTTTAACATTTAGTTATACGTATTGTATTTAATAAGATTTTAATAAAAACTTGTAATAATAAACTTCTAATTAAATGATTGATTTCTTTCAAAAACATGATAGACGAATATACATTATGTGGTCCAGACATTTGAAAAAATAACCGTACAAGATCACGTTACACTCTTAATAAAAAACTCATACATCAATTAAAAACAAATTTTATTTAAAAATGGTTGCAAAGATAAAAATTGAAGGGTCGTGAAAACTATTCTTATCTACTGATAACCAAAGCAATATCAATGGTTTTTATACATAATAAAAAGATTTTGAAGAGACAAATCACTTTTTTTTATAATTTCACTAGCGAGAAACTATGGTACAGTAGTATTATGATTTAAAATAGATAAATTTTACTTATTTATCATATTTAAAAATAAATTTTGAATTTTTGTATTACGTATAGTACAGTAAAATGATGTTATTTTGTGTTAAATTGAAGCGGCTCAAAAATTTAAAAACGAGTAAAAAATTTTTTTTTTTAAACTAATGAGCAATTCAACTTTTGAACATATAAAATCAAAGTATAGGTGTTTTTGATAATAAAATTTTTAGTCCGTCTAATTTGTAGGTACCGCAGGAAAAGTAGATTTTTCATTTTATTTGAAAACTACTGCTGCAAGCTCACATTATTTAGAAAAAAAAGAAAATTTGTATGTACCTTAAAATATTACTACTGCGTAATCTCTCTTTCCAAGTATCAAAATTTAGTTTTTGAAAAAACACTTTTTTGCTCTTAATTTAGAAATGCAAAGCAAAATTGTTTACTTTAATTTGGATAAAGTATTTAAATGCCTAGTAAAACATAAGCTATTGTATATTATATCATGAAAAGGTAACTTAATTGAAAAACGAATAACAACTACAAAAGGATGCAATTACGCTGCCACCCAAAAATCATGTATATTGCATATACGACTTTTTATTGCCATAAACATTATTAAAATCTAATTTTTATTACTGTTTGTAATTTGATTTAGAAATAATTTTCCCATTTTTAAGAGTTAATTTCAAGTTTTTTGAGTATAGAATCGTAACTTTATAAGCTATGAAAATATTGCTCAGACAGTAGTTATTGCTGACTGCCGTTTGGTTTTTTTTACAAAATACATTTCATCAAAATTGTAAAGTATGACACCAAAAAATTACAGAGTAGTTTAAAATTAAAGCACTTACCTCCCGTAATAATCCAAATAAGACATCTGTTGAAAGAGATCTCTCATGAGCTTCATCCATTATAATTGCCGAGTAATTATCTAAATCAGGATCTCTTAAACTCTCTCTTAATAAAATACCATCTGTCATATATTTTATTACAGTTTTTTCTGAAGTACAGTCTTCAAATCTGATTGCATAACCAACTTCCTCTCCTAAAATTTTAAAAGCCATTATTTTATTATTTTTTATTCAATCAATTTTGATTTATAATTACCCAATTTTGTTCCCATTTCGTCTGAAACACGTTTTGCTACCGACATGGCAGCTACTCTCCTAGGTTGTGTACAACCGACTATACCGAATTTACTATAACCGTCTTCATGAAGATATTGAGTTAACTGTGTGGTTTTGCCACTTCCAGTTTCTCCAACTATTATTACTACTGAATTTTCCCGAATTACATTGAGCAACTCTTGTCTTACTGCAAACACTGGCAAATATCTCCGCTGTTGCAATATAGATTTATTTTGCGAAAATGCACTTTTTCCCCCACTATTGGAATCTTTCATATGCTCTGCGAATTTTTGATCTTTGCGATAGTCCGTTGAGTCGGTTTCTTCATCATATTTCGAATCCTCATCATCTTTTTTCTTTTCTATTCCCATAATATTACCCAATTTTGTGCCACCCAATTCCCAATGTTTTTTTTGAGCTTTTCTTCGCTCTTTTTGTTCTCTGTAAGTTCTTACTAAAGCGCTTCCTTTTCTGGATATCAATGCCATATCTGATGTAGGATCTTTAACTGGAATTACAGGCTCTGGTTGTTTTGTAAAAACTATTCTGCCATCCAGGAATGGTGGAACGATATGATGAACTAAAATTTATTTTAGGTTTTTATTTTTTTGTTTTTAAATAAATTAAATTAATGATACCTAGTAAATGAACCCTTTCAACAGCTTCTTCGTCGAAATCTTCGTTCACGTTAATTGACATGACAACACCTGATGTCAGCATTCTGTTTCTTTCCCATAACTCGTTATCCTTATTGATTTGTCGTTGTTGGGCACTTATTCGTTTAGTTCGCTTTAGTTCTATTTGCTCTTCACGTTTTTTGAAATATTCTGCGTTTCCATTAAAGGGGTTATTTTCTTCATCATATCCTTCATCCATGTTGTACCATTCTCTATCAAGACGCCTTTGTTCTTCTTCCCATAAATCTCTATCTTCATCTTTATAACCCCATGGTTGACTATTGCTACTTGAACCTTGACGACTAGTTGTTGGAGTAGCTCCGGATTTTTTTCTTTCATTCGCCCAAATATTGTACTTGTGAGCAGGAGTTGGTCTAGGAGTTCCGCTTTCTTTTTTAATGTTATTGGGATATTTTGTATCGCTGCTAACGTTACTACGTGCTGAAAAATCACCTTTAGTTTTAGAAAATGTCTTTGGAGTAGGAAAATCCCAAGTAGATTTTTTGAAACCCGAAGATTGCTCTTCATCATCATCCCACGAAGATGACGAAACCGAATCCTTTTCGAAATATAATGGCGTTCTTGGTTCATCTTTAAAACGTGGGGTTTTAATAGAACGAGACGAATCAGGATCTCTTGAATATTTTTCATAACTTCCATGCTTATCTTTATAATTACGCTCACGAATTTTGTCTTCATCTCTCATGCGATTGTGCTCACGATCGCGACCTTTAATTCTTTCTTTAAAGCCTTCCCGATATCTTTCTTTTCGATGATTATCGCTATCGTCGGATGAATGACGTTTTCTATCTTTTGTGGTAGCGCTGACGACGTTTATTTTACTACGATCTCTATTAAGATGCTCAATTAAACGGTTTCTTGCTTTTTCTGAAACCCCACCCGTATGAGAAGGAGTTTCAATTCTTGACTGCCGAATTTGACGGTTTAATTTATGAAAACTATCAGCGTCAGGAATTTTAAAAACCGGAGATGAAACTTCTCTGTCATCATCATACTCAGTTGATTTAAAAGATATTTTTCGCTCTGCATCCTCTCGTTCTTTTCTTCTTTGTGCCGCTAATTTGTCTAGCCCTAAAATCGAAGCTTTCGGAGCACTCACCACTTTATCCTCCGATTTTTTCTTAATAACCAGGCCACCTTTTGTTTCCGTGGTCCCTTCTAAACGATAAATACTATCATTTTCCATTTACTTTCCGGTTACTTCTAGATTATTTATTCAAAAATTTAAGCATCAGGCTGAAACGTTTAAATATGTAATTCCTTAGAATATTCAACTTCAAAATTACATACTTAGTACACAATTATTTTTGTAGCCGTCAGAACATATGATCTCTCATTCTCTTGCAATACACTAAGCCAGTGATTCTCAACCTGTCGCATTTTGCGACACCAACCAATATTTCCCAAAACCTAGCGGCACCATTTTAATAAAACAGTTATTCATATATTTATTTTATTTATACTGGGTTTTTCACATAGGGTGGCAAATAATTTAAGATTTTTTTTCGTTTTTGATCTAAAGCCTGTTGAAGAAAAAGGTATTAGACTTTTCCTGCATATAAATAAATCCTTATAACTTCGGAACCATGCAACATAGAGTTATCATTAGGCGTTTCATATGTTTTACAGGCGATTGATTGTTCATATTAATCAAATTAAAATAATCAATCAATTATTTTGTTTTGAGTCATAGTTTTCAAGATACAACTCGTCAAAGACAGAATTTTTGTTTTATTTTATCAAAGAATCATCCCTGAAATTATTGGCACCTTATGGGACACATCCTGTATATTCTCAAAGAATGAGAAATTTGACTTCGGCGATTTGCTACTATTCCTTTAATATAAGGTCGAATATTTCATAAACATACTCTGAACTCATTTTTAACAAAGGAAAAAACAAAGCAAAGAGAATAACGTTCTGCAAATTAAAACATGCATTTTAAAGTAACAACTATGTATGTACATATTTACAAAAGTGAGAAATACATAAACTTAATAACATAAACTTTACGTTAAAGCAATGGACGGAAACCATTAAAAAATTTAAAAAAAAGTTTGCCCTTATAAGCACTTTATTATTTAGTATGTTATCTATGAAAAAACATTCCGTACTATATGATAAATCTAAAAAAATTCAAAAAATTCAATCGGTTTGTAATACAAATTTCAAAGAAGCAATAGAAAAAATAAAAGACTACTAATTCATAAATTGATGTATATTCCGAATTAACGGCATGCCGTTCCCTTATTCGCATATTACTAACAATTCAAAGATATACACTTTACTAACAATTCAAAGATGTACGCAAAAACAAATGTCGAATTTGTAATGTACTTTTACCAAATACCCTAAAATGTTTCTCATTAATATGTCAAATCAATTTCAAACTGGTTTCTACATTGACGCTTTTCCTTAATTGTCAATTTTTAAAAATCAATACAAAATTCAGGCGTCAATGCTGCAATGACTTTATTTATTCTGTAGGTTTTGTATGTTCATTAAATTTATTTTTAATATCGTATCGGGTTTGATTATTATTTTTATTGCCATTCATTATTGTTATTATATTATAAAGTGTTTAATAAGAATGTCTGATGATGCAAAATACATAAAAAAGTACGTATAAATATTTGTTACCTATGTAGCAATTCCTAAAAAGTTTAATCTGATTGTAAACTTGATCAAATAATTTTTTTCAGAAAATGGAAAGGAGGAACCATAGAGCCACATCCAACTGAAAAGGCATTGGTAGTAAACTACCAATTAGAAGCTGCAGTTTTTGGTGAACCAGATAATCCTATGTTAGAGGATAAAAAAGTATGGCAAAAATACTAAATGAATTTGATTATCGATTTTCCCTTGCGTAGTGTATAAAACAAATTACTATGACGTTATTTTTAATGACTCATACTTTTTTAAACAACTCTTCATTTAGTAAATTATTTAATCGAACTGGAATTGTTTGCTTGCAAATTTGATAAGTTGATTTGCAGATTTAAGAGTTTTAGACTATAGTTTGCTTTTAATTTATAAATGCATTTACAGGTAGTAGATATTTCATTGAAAATACCGAATTAAGCAAACATGTTTTTAATGCTTTTTTCAAGGTCGATCTTTGTGAATTTTAATTAAACTTTTTATTTTGATATATATTACGAAAAGTAATATAAAAGTAATAAAATCGGTTTTGGCTTTAAATATTTAAAATCTATTTAGGAATTACTTGAAAAGTTACATGGACATATTTTTATGCATACTACATACACATAAAACGGTTTTAACTTAGTGAATATGAATAATATTTCATTATATGAAATATTATTCCCCCAAAATAAATACATTTAATGTGTAGGTATATTATATACATTTTCATATACATAGCATTTTATATCCTTCCTAAAGTGAAGTTGTTTTGGTATCTATTTTATTCCCATTATATTATTTTTTTGTTAAATAATTATCAATATTTCAAATGGAGTTATGAAAATACACAAGTTATTTTTATAATCATTCTAATTACCAGGAATGCCAAAGAATTATTCGATTAAAGTCACTAAATTCTAAAACAGATCCAGCTGTTTTAGCACGAGAAGTGGTAGAAAAATGTGATTTGATACACAAATCACAACTTTCTGAAGTTGAGCAAATTATTTATTATTTAAAAAATCGTAAAGCCAATGTTGGTAATGGTAAATGTTTTTATATAAGAAATAAAATTAAGCGTTAAGTAATGTGAATTTTTTTCAGACAATAATAGTCAAAGATCAGCATCTCGTCACTCGGCTAAACCAAGCCCACCCGATGCTTCTATTAGAAACCTAGATGAATATGTCGAACTATTATACGAAGATGTTAATGAACGAATTCGAGGGTCAAGTTTGATATTAAGCGTGGCTAGAAACCCCGATAATTTAGAAGAATTAGAAAAAAATGGTAATGCCCAAAATATTAACTTGAGAATTTATTGAGAATTTTCAAAAATTTTAATTGTCTTTACAAAAAAATTTTTTCCATTTAATCAGAGGCTGCATTAAGCGCATTATCGCGCGTGCTTAGAGAAGACTGGCGTAAAAGTTTAGACCTTTCAACTAATATAATATATACATTCTTTTGCTTTTCAACATATACTAAATTTCATCCTGTGATTGTCCAGTACAAAGTATTGAAAATTGTTTTACAGTTTTAAAGACTCCAGTTTCATGTTCAAATGTTAAAACTGGATTTTTAAAAAATTTATTTTTTAAATAAATTCGCTTATAGGTTTCATTTATTTTAGATTGGTTCCTTATGTATGGATGTTATAGACTATGAGTTGCGCAGATATGAAAGTATGCGCAATGAGTTGGATGTCCGCAAAAATCCAATGGAAAGTCGAGACGCCAGTAAAGAAAAATTAAATAAAAGCTCAGAAGACTTTTTAGATATTATGAATGAAGAAAAACCAAAAGAAGTGCTTCTTTTATATTAGAAATATATGTATTACATTTATTCAACCTGTATTTTTTAGATGGAGCCACCGCGTCGCCGCATCCCAGAACTAAAACAAAGACCAAAATCAGGGAATTGGTCAAGTTATCATGGAACACTGACTTCATCTTTAATAAAATCACAAATTTTGAATAACAGCTTTCATGAGCAGTTGTCTTCAGAAATAGAAAAATCTTCCCAGGATATGAAATCAAACAGTTCTGAAAAGTTAAATGGTTCTAATGATCCTAAGGCCAAAAAAGATGAAATTGATCGCCTTAACAAACATTTAAAAGTTTTTGCTAGAAAGCAAGAACAGTTACTTAGAGTTGCTTTTTATTTATTGCTAAATATGGCTGAAAACGTAAAACTAGAAGAAAAAATGCGAAGAAAGAATGTAGTTAAAATGCTTGTTAAAGCTCTAGATCGACAAAACATAGAACTATTGGTGCTGGTTACCACTTTTTTAAAGAAGCTTTCCATAGTATGCGATAACAAAGATGAAATGAACGAACTGAATATAATTGATAAATTACCACGTTTACTCAATAGCGGACATGCTGATTTGGTACAAGTTACCCTAAAATTAATTTTCAATTTGTCTTTTGATGGAAAAATTAGATCTAAGATGGTTCGTGCAGGATATCTACCAAAATTAGTTGCATTTTTAAGCGACGATAAGCATCACGGGATAGTTGTCAAAATTTTGTATCATTTCAGTTTAGACGACAAAGTAAAGTCAATGTTTACTTATACGGAATGTGTACCTCTAGTAACTGACTGTTTAATTTTGAATCTGAATAAAAAATGCGATTTAGATTTGATAGCTTTATGTATTAATTTAGCCCTTAACAAACGTAACGCACAGATAATGGCAGACCGCACTCGTTTGCATAGTTTAATGGAAAGAGCATTTAAATACGAAGATGCGTTTTTAATGAAAATGATACGAAATGTTTCGCAGCATGAAAGTTTACGTAACTGTTTTATCGATTTTGTTGGAGATTTGGCTAAAATTATTACTATTTGCGACAATGAGGACTTTATTGTGGAATGTATTGGAATTTTGGGCAACTTATCTTTACCAGATTTAGATTACTCGCAAATATTGCAAAATTTTGAGTTGATACCATGGATTCGTGACACATTGATGCCGGGTAAAAGATTAGACGACTTAGTTTTAGACACCGTTATATTACTGGGAACGTGTTCTTGTGATGAATCTTGTGCAATGTTGCTATGTCGATCAAATGTTGTTACTTCATTGATTGAGCTATTAAAAGCAAAACAAGAAGATGATGAAATAGTTTTACAGATATGTTTTGTATTTTGGCAAATATTGAAAAATGAAAGTACCCGTGCATATATGATAAAAGAAACAGGTAAGAAATTTTGTAACTCTAACGAAGAGTATTAATGAAATAGCGAATATTAAATTTTAGAATCACCTGCGTATTTGATTGACTTGATGCATGACAAAAACTCTGAAATTCGAAAAATTTGCGACTATTGTCTCGATATTATAGCTATGTCGGATTCAGAATGGGCTTCTAGGATAAAGGTATATTTTGTTGTCAAAACCAACACACATTTTCTGCTTATATTCACGATTATATAATCGAAAAAATATTCTAGCTCGAAAAGTTTAGAAACCACAATTCGCAGTGGTTAAATATGGTTGAAGCTCAACAAGATTTACAAGAAGACTACGTAGGAGCCGATGAAGACGAAACCGAATTACCAACTTATTTAACATCTGAATATCTAGATCAATGCGATATATATAATTCCGGTGATGATAATGATAGTAATAATAGTAACAGTAATCATAGAGCTAGTCCTGCTTTATCAAATTATAGTAGACCAGTTAGCAGGTAAAAGCTAAAATAAGATTTTGTTATGCATATGTATATGATATTTGTATTTTTGTATATAAGGTATATGAGGTTCTTATAAACTTAAAATTATTCAATATTTAATTTAAAAATAAAATGATTTTAACTGTATCTTTTAAAAAACTATTTAACGGTAAAAGAATAAGTAAAATTGGGAAAAAAACATACAAAATAAACTATTCCATACAAGTTCTATACTTTAATATTTTTAAATAAATTTGCAAATTTTTCGTCTTATCTTATTACCTTTTTAGTTATCGACGAAGTCAAGATCTTGAGGACTTAGAAACGATGACGTCCAGCTCGAAATCACATATTTCTAGCCAAACTGGTAGCAGTGACAATTACTTTTTTAAACTAAACAACAAATCATTAGACTCAGAGCTAATGCCTGATGACATTTTAGTTGCCTAAAAAATAATGTACCAACCAATAATGGATATAAAAATTTTAATATTAAAAATAAAATTTTTTGAAAACTTTCTTTTCAATCGGAATATTTAAGAAAAATTGTTTCAAGAAAACATATAAAATTAATCAAAATTACATAAAAATATGAAATTTTATAAGTTAGTTTTAAAAATAAAAACTACATGTCAATATTAAGCAACAAAAAAAGCATACACTTGAAGAGTACATCACTACTTGTTAAGCTATATACATGTATATTATACAAAATATTACATTTATTTTAAATTTTAAAACTTGAACATTTTATGGATTTTACGAAAGTTAAAAGTGTAGACATGTCATACATCTTATTAGTGTTAAATTGCAAAAGATCAAAATGATTAGTTTTTTAACTTGTAAATGAAAGAATTAATCATAAACTAGATTATACTATGACATTATTATATAACTTGAAAATGAAAATTGAAATATCTATAATAGTTTTTAATTGTAATTTAATTATAAATAAGAGAAAATTAATTTAGCGCACATATGATATGAAAAGCTTTCATATATGTAGTTCTTTTTTGATTTTTTATTTTGTCTTTTTGTTTTTGGTAGAAGAGTGTTAAACTTTGTACTATGTTAAATTATGTACAGCCGTACTTATATTTCTTGAACATTATTTCCAAATTAGGTTTCACTTTACATAGTATTCGCACGAGATTGTTTAAAACATAAATTTTTTTTGTTTAATTTTTAATGTTCTTTGTTGTTTATGCTTCTTTTTTCTAAAAATTTTTATTAAATAACAGATAATGAAAAAATTTTCAAATATGTACACCAATATTTGTTAATTTTATTATTATTATAAACTCAATCATTTAAGGAAAGCTCACATTTTTTTTACATGAATACTTTTTGTGTAAAAATTTTTTAGTTTTAAGCTTGATTTCTAGTCTTATTTTGGTTTCAATTGTGATATTTATATTTGTAGACATGAAAATTGTTTTTATTTTAAAATAAGTCAAAAATATTAATTCGTAATAATTCATTAATGTTTTATGTTAAAATATATTTGTTTTTAATATTTTTTTTAGATACTTTGTAAAGTCTTTAAAAATAAAAATAATTTTTATATTTAATTTAGAAAGCAAATATAATTATACCAATTCAAGATATTATAGTAGCAAATAATATTATTCTACATATTATGTATATTGTAAAATTAGTACATTATACATTTATGATTTTAATACAACATATAATTTTGCATATACTATAATCATTTTCACATGACTTTTGCATATTTTAAAATGAATGTACAAAAAGAAAAACAAAATTAAGTGATTACTTAATTAAAAAAAATAAAATATGCTACATAAAATGGTTTGTATTTTTATTTTTCTAATTTCATAAAATCACTTCCTAAATTAGATTTTTTTTAGAATATGACGTTGAAAGCTACTCAAAAATACTTTGGCAAATACATGCGAAATGAGTTACGATCTAAAGGGAATGTTTGTAAACTTTTCTGTTAAAAATGGAAATATCTGGACTTTAAATTCGTATTCTATATTTTGGTTATCACGGTATTAATCCAATCCTTAAAATCTTGCATCCTTGCATTAGTACCGTTATTCTTACAATTTCTTTGACTTTTATAACCGTAAAACGAAAGTAAAAAAATTTTACTTCAGATGAGGGAAAACTGCATTTGGAAACTAGAGTTGTACGAGTAAAATCTTCGCGCATAAATAATCACTAAATGGTTCACTAAATAAATGTGGCATAAATTCCTGTGCCTTATACTTAACCGCTTAGAGTATTTAAAAAAAAAAAAACGATTTTTTAATTTTTTTTATTTTTAATTAAAAAAAAATATGAAAAAGAGAAAAAAGTTCTAACTTTAATTTATTTTTTATAAAGAACAAAGGGTTTTCCAATTTTGTAAGCCAGTGACTTCCTGATTTTGTTGCCACATAATTTATCAGGATATCGTACTAAAGCTGGCTTTCTTAAAAATATTCCTCGTTTTTCTGGAGACCAAACTAAAAATTTGCACTTCTCTGTGTTTGATAATTTTAAACTAACCCAACCAGCTGATGACAATAATATATCTAAAGTATAAAAAAAATGTTTATTTCTAATTTTGATTTGAAATTAAGTCAAACTTACCACTAGTAGCTATATCCTTATCAATACCTTCTACAATTATTTCAGATGATTCTAAAGCAGGCCATTTAGCCAAACGATCAATATCACCTTTAGGAACTTGTAAGTACGGAGATCCTAATAATTTATGGTAAACATATTTCGCGTCAACAGTATTCGTTATAAGTATTGGCAATTTTAATGAAGAAAATACGTACAACCTTTAACAAGTCATGTAAAGTAAATGCATATATAGTTTTTTAAACCATTAATTATTACTTCACATAATCCAAATTTCCACTAACAAAATCGATCCTCCCAAGTCCAGCCAAAAAGAGAGTCATTCCAACCGCTATTTTAAAAGCACGTGGAGTAATCATTTGCGTTGGTATTGCCAAAAGCAATTCTTCTGTAGTTAGCAAATCATGAAGCTAATTCAAATTAATACTTCATAAAAAAAAATCATTTCATTTTAATAAAATGAATACCTGTTCTGAATGTATAACGCCAGGAGTGTCATAACACCATTTACTTTGGGAATAAATCTTACTATTTTCATCTAGAGTTAGAATAGGTTGAACGGCTGTTGCTGGAGAAAATGGATCATTCACCTCTGTTATATTTTTGAATGTTGTACCTTATACACAAAAATTTATTACAGAAATTTTTCTATTTGTATTAACTTTTTTATACCAATATGACCAATTAAAGTAGCATCCCTGATTTTTCCTGTTACTGATAGTTGGTCTCTTCGTAAATTTTTTTCGGCTTCTTTTTGCATTTGTTCAGATTTAAGACGGCGAAATCTTTCATACACTCTAATATCTGTAAAAAGAGTGTATTAACGGAAAGTTATTTCTGTTATTATTTAAGTTAATGATTACCTGAAGGTCTTAAAATAGGGAATTTTAAAAATTTTAATGTAGTTCCAGGCCAAGAACACGTTGTTGCTCTTTTTATTATATCGGTAGCTTCAACCTTACAGTAATCGGATTTTAATAAAGCATTAAATAGGGAACTTTTTCCAGCATTCGCGCATCCCATTAAATATACGTCACCATTATATTTCCAAATTTTATGTAACACGGTAATTAGTTCCTCAACTCCGTATCCGGTTTTCGCAGATATTAAACATGTTTCTTTTAAATTAATTTTATCTAGACCTGCGAGAAACATATGATGAATAAATCTCTAAGGATCTCTTTCATTTTTCTCACCAAAACTATTAACAGTTTCAATTAAAACGTTCTTTATATTTGCTATATAACCTTTTGAATCATTTGGAAGGAGATCAACTTTATTTCCAACAATAACAACGGGTCTTTTCTCGCCTATTATTTCTTTTAATTCCGGTGAAATAGAACACGGAAAATCGGTAAGATCTATAATTAAAACTGCTAAGGCAAATTTGTCTTTGATCACCGACAACATCTTAATATAATCTTCTGGGCCTAATGCTATATCTAAAGCTATGTTATAGTGTTTTAAAAAGTGACATCTTTGACAAGTAACTGTCTAAAAGAATTAAAAAATAATTAATATTTAATATTAAAACTAATATTAGAATTATGTATTAATTACCTTGAGTTCTTCATCAGTTCTTCCATTAAAAATTTCCAAAGGTATATATCCAGGATATCCAGGATCAACGCAATGAAGGTGAGCTCCACATCCGCCGCACGGAATATTGGAAGGCGGAATATGAGGGTCTGTAATTATACATTTACAAATATTAAACATACAAATAGATTTATTGAGAGCCTTACCGCAAGTGCCATACTCAGAATTTTTGCTTTCATCATTTTCATTATAAAATTCGTATTCATCTAACCAAGATTTTGGAAAATTCGAGATTTCCGCTTGATATGTAGTTTCATCTGTTAAATTGTCAGAGTTCCTTTCTTTTTTTCTTCTAATGTTGGTGTCCACATCTAGGTATTTTAACGCTACCGAAAATGGTTTTTCCCTAATTTTATCTGCTGCCTTTTTAAATTTACGCTTTTTCATAATATCTTGGTTAATCATTTTCCCTACATATCCCAATTTTAGCTTTTGCATATCCAAAAATGAACTGTACAAGATTTTCGAAAGAACATCGTCGTTAAAACAAGATGATTTTAAACTTTTACTTTCTTGAAAAGATTTTGGTAAATTGTGATTACTTATTTTATTTTGATTCCACGGACTGCGCAATTTTTGTAGTAAATTAAAAACACGTATTTTTTGAGAAAACATTTTCGTTAATTGAATTTTAAAGTAAAAATAAATCAACATTAGCTATCCATGAAATGAAATAAAAATATTATCAAGACTTCGAATGTTGGAAGTTTGTGTGTTTTTTATTTTTATATGAAGGGACCATTTAAGATTTGAGAGTCGTAATTCTGATTGATTTAAATAAACAATTTAAATCAGCTGCTTTACTTCACCTATTAAAATTTTGAGGTTACATCACGGTTGAAAGAAATTTGTACGATATTTTTGTTATGTCAAGCAAGCTTGTATTTCTGTCAGCCGTGCAAGCAATTTTTCTGAAAAAATAAGAAACCCATTTTATTGACTTTTTATATGATTGCGCATAATCTGCAAATTTACAAATATTACTGGGCAGCATTGACGTTTGAAAATATGACGTCATCAGGAAAAAATTTCAAGAATAAAATCTCTCCTTCCACTAAAGAATTAGGTAAGTTACTCAATTTTTTGAAAAAAACTGAGCACTCAACCTAATTTCAAACTTGATCTATTTTAATGCTGTTGCTTCTGCGATGGTTCTCCTCATAAATGACAGATATCCTGTCCTGGGTTATTTATTATCTATGGTTCTCCTGCACTTCTGTTATAGTTCAGTTGTAGTACTGTTTTCAGGGAAATTAAATAAAGGGGTAAATATTTTACCAATAAAACAAAATGGAGATTACATTTAAAACTTTCCTTTTTCTTTTCAATTTTTTGTAAATTTTTTTATTCGAAATGTATATGTACATTTTTATATAAGTATATTGTCATGGATAATAATAAATATTCTTTCGTCTAAAAACTAAGGAACTCAAAGGGTGGTTCGAAGAGAACCACTTATCCCCTGATAAATCTGCGAAGACTTAAATAAAGATAAATTAAAAGGAAAAATTTACTTATCACTATGAGGCTCTTTTTTATGTGGTAAAACTTCCAAATCCTCCCGACATTTTGGAACGAATAGTGAAACACAACTACATTCCCAAACACTTTCCGGGTATCCGTCTAAACGACTCCATTCTTTTGTTTCAATGTTGAAGCATTGTATTGCTGAAGAAGCCCGATCAAAAACTGTGTCAGAATGTAGTCCTCCAACAATATATATCACATTATTAACAGCAACAATACCGGCATGGTATTTTGGTGTTGGGACTTCGGTTTCAACAATCCATGTTCTTTGTACAGGGTCATAACTATCGATAGTTCGTACAAGTCTACGGGTTTCACTAATAAGATCTTCGTACCACCCTCCACACACATATAATTTGTTATTGATGGCAAGCATATTATGATCAGTTCGTGGCACTAACATTGGAGGTAATTCTTCCCATTTTTCATAAAAGGTATTGTAACGCCAAAACGATGACAAAATTCTATGTCGATCCAATCCTCCTAAAAAATAAAAAAAAAGATAAAATTATATTATTACATTCTTTTTATAGAATTGTTTAAAAGAAGACTTAAATATTTAAAAAAAAAAACAGTAAAAATAAATATATATTCAAATTGCACGCAAGTTGAATATTTTGTTTTGTATTTAGTAGGAATTTAGTAATTAAAACAATTGTTATTAATAAAAAAATAAATGAAGATAAATTTAAATTAATGTACCTGAAATGTAAAGATTGCATCCTAAAACTGCTCCCGCATGTTGAGTTCGATTTTCTGGCAAATTAACGATATATTCCCAAGTATCTGTGTTTGTATTATACTTTTCACAATTCGATATTGGTATGTCTTGAATCCAACCTTCATCACTTTCATTTGTATCACTGACTCCACCAACAGCATACAAGCATGAACCAATCGCATTTAATGAAAATCTGCAACGATCATTTTGCATTGGAGCAATTGTTGTCCATTTATTCGCAATAGGGCAATATCGGAAACCGAATGGATGTATATATTCTTTCAAATAAACGTCATAGCATCCGCCAACAACGTATAAATCGTTCCCTAAAACAGCAGTGCCATAATTACTTTGTTCAACATGAGGTATTACTGTTAAGTTATGCCATTTCTTGCGACTAGGTAAGTAGTATGTAATTTTATTTGTTATACCGTCTACTCCAAATCCCCCAATTTTAATTAAAGCTGATTCCATTCCTCTAGAATTTGTTAAAATTTCCTCATGTGTTTCATTTGTATTATTATTTAGTTGTAATCTATTATTTGTCGAAATATTAAATTTATTTATTGGTTGTGAACGTTCAACTATTTTCAATACTGTAAAATATATTTCCTGATTCACACTAAAATGTGGACGAAATAAACGTAAAGTACTCTCGAGATCAAAATGTTTTATTTCATCTAAACGAACTTTATTGATTAGTTTTTGTATTATAACATGATCAACGTTTTGAGCTATGCACCAATTAATAACAATTTGTAAAATATTTGCTTCTGGGCAATCCACAGGGTAATCAGAACTTAGCAAATAAAGAAATTGTTCCCATGTTAAGCGATTGATTTCATTAGTTTTAGAAAAAGTTTTCAGTCTCGAACAAATATATTTGTACGTTTTTTGTTTCAACTTTTCTAAAGAATAAATTTCGGCGATTGTCGCTATATCAACGCAATTTTCTAAGTCAATTTGAGATTCTAAAAAGTTTGCACATGCACCGATAACTGCATTCATTTGAACGTGATTAGCTGCGGAAAGTATGTCTTGAACATTATTTCGATCCAATTTTAATTTTGAAGTATAAGCGTAGTTAATTAGACATTCGATTCCACGTGCGGTTACACCTTTTAAACAAATTTCTGCCTGATTTGCTTCTTTCATTGCATCTGTAAACATTGCTCGAAAATAATCTGAACATGCTGCCATTACAGCTCGATGAACCTAAAAAAAGCACTTTTAAATTATTAGGAACCTTCCAAATTTTTCAATTTTTTAACCGTCTGAGCTGTATAAGATATTATTTTTGTAATTAAATACATATAATTACAAATAACGGATTGGAATAATCATTCATTTATGAAAAGCATTCAGTCTGCTTTAAATTGAAGTTGAATTCATATTAAAACTAAAAACAACTTAAGAATGTTTTTTTTATATGATCTTATTGTTCGGAAATTGCTAAATACTTAAGTACCTAATAATAACATTGACATATGAAAAAATCAAATTATTCCATAAACGAATACAAAATAAAGTTTGATTGTATTTATACGTTGTTTTAGTTTGTAACACTGCAGAATTAGAAAAAATAAAATTTAAAACCGCAATTTTGGTTATAATAATACGGATTAAGCTTAAAGTAGACAATATTTTAAAAACAAGTACCACATAATCTAGGCATTATGTGGTCGAAATATAATTAGAGATATGTACGTGTTCCTTATACATTACAAATGTCTAAATAATTTATAGGTACCTAGTTAATATTTGCAACATTTGTAGACATCTACAAGTAGAAATTTATTAATCTACATTTATAAAATACAAACCTTAAATTCTGCATCTTCAGCTATTAGCGTGACATCTAAAAGTTTTTCATAAAGACGAAGTTCATTTAAACCTGATAGTATTGAATTAGCGTGAGAAGATAATTCAAATGTGTAGTTTTCAGGTGTGGAAGCAACCTCGCACATTTCGGTCATAATAGGCAAATTTACTCTTACGATAATTTTAATACATGAAAAATTTCAATTTTTTTAGCTGTCTTTTATAATTTTTTAAGTAGGTCAATTGTAACAATCTGCAACCTGGATTTTTAAGAATTTTATTCTTACATACTTATTTCTTTTACAAGAAAAATCATGTATATCATCCTAATATTATCGTTATTTAATTTCTGCTTGACCGACAACCTTTACAAAATCTACAGGTTTCAATAAAAATCGCTTTTTGTTTTAATTGCAATTGTTTAAAAGAAAGCCAACATCATAAAATAGAAATAAAAACGAAAAACAAAGCATATCATTCGTATTGGAGACTATGACAACTGAAGGTGTGTCAAAGATAAACGATATTATCGGAATGAAATATCGATATAGCTAAATTTTTATGTCATATTATCCGCAAGGGTGGATGAGTTTTTGTACACAAATGTGAATTTGGATTTGATCTTAATTTCATTTCATTAACGACTCTCCATTATAATTTCATTTCTGATTTCGTTTTGTAAATAATGGCAATATCGTGTGTTGTTTTTATTAATAATATTCATGCTTAAAATAACAAAGCAAATGTTCTTTATATTTTAATAAAAAAATAATGGGTTTTGCAATAGAAATATTCAGCGAATTCTTATAATTGTTGTAGCAATAGATAAAATTAAACTGGATTTATTGGTTCGTTTGCTTTAAGATACATATATTTAAAACTAAAGTAATTTTTCTCTTAAAGGATTTTCTCTTCTCTTTAATTTTTCTCTTTTCGTATGAAATAAACTGAACACATTATTTTTATTAAAAAAACCATCGCAAACCCGCACTGAAGTGGATTTTGATTTAATTTTCTGAGAAATGTCAAAAATTAAAATTTTCATACAAAAAGTATCAACTCGTCGTGAAAGTGAGGAATCAATGCAGAGCGGTTCATCAATATTTATCAATTCGTCAGTTTTATTTAGCAAGTTTTACAATTTCATTAACCAGAATACTTCATAATGGAAAATTAAGCGAGCCCATAAAAATAAGCACAGGTGTAAGACAAGGATGCCCCCTTTCTCCGCTTCTGTTCAATGCTGTCTTGGATGAAATAATGAAAGAAACTACAACAACACCCAGAGGAATAAGATGGGGAATAATGGGTCGTCTTGAAAGCCTCGAATATGCCGACGACGTTGCCCTGCTGGCCCAATCACATAGTGACATGCAGAGAAAAATTAACCTTCTGAGTGAGAAAGCCAGAGTAGCTGGTCTACGAATCAACATAAAGAAAACGAAATCACTCAGAATTAATAGTAGAAACAATGAGCAGTTTAAGATTAACGAAACGCCAATCGAAGATGTCACGAGGTTCAACTACCTTGGTAGTATAATTACTACAGATGGGGGAGCTGAAGAAGACATAAATAATAGAATTGGATTGGGTAGAGCAGCGTTTGGTAGAATGTGGGCAATATGGAGGTCACCACACTTGGCCAGAGGCACCAAAATTAGAATATTCAACTCCTGCGTCAAGTCAGTTCTACTATATGGCACGCAAAACTCAAAAATATAAACAAAGTGCAGGTGTTCATCAACAGATGCCTAAGAATAATATGCAGGATCTTCTGGCCAAGAAGAATCAGTAACAACGACTTGTGGACACTAACCGGCGAGGAACCAATAGGCCTTCAAATAAAAAGAAGAAAATGGCGATGGATAGGCCATACCTTGCGGAGACCATCTGAGGCAATCGCTCGACAGGCTCTTGAGTGGAATCCACAGGGTAAGCGTAGAGTGGGAAGACCTCGAACAACCTGGCGACGAACTGTGGAAAAAGAACCTGGGCACAGATAAAGATGCTAATAATGCGATGCGAATAATAGAGTAAGATGGAGAGGTTATGTGGAAGACCCAACCATTTAATTTCATTAAATAGAATTGGCTTTGACAGGCAATAAAAATAACCATTTGGATATCCTATAATACGAGGGAATAAGCCAATCCTACCATAGGATATCGAAAAAATGAAACCGTTATTGTTCGTGATGAATCCTTGATAATTAAATTACATATAATGTACATAGATATTGAAAAAATAAGTACAAAACATTGATAAATATCTATAAATTATATCGATATAGTGATATTATATGGCAAAAATATCATTACTCCTTAAAGCTGGATTCATTGGTTCGTAGTTTTTGAGCTGAGCTATTTGTAGTCGAACTATTTTTCTTCATTGTTCATTGGTTGGTCGGAAAAAAGCTGATCGTTTTTTTTTATTATGATGCATCTATTCATTTTTTGACAAGAATTATATGTAATTGTATTAGTTCAGTATACGTAAATTTAACGTTTTAAAAAACCCCCGCACAAAAGTTGAAGTTGATTCAACTTTTTGAGAGAGAGAACAAAGCTATACTAAAAGTAATGTCTTTATATCTAACAAGTCCCAATGCTCAGAGAAAAACTTGAAAGCACGACCTTATTTGATATGGGTTTTTTTAAATCGAAGTGGCTATTTTTTGAGAAGAAATATTAAAATAAATTCATACTTATTATAAAGCAGGTAAAATTTAGAAAATATATTTGAAAAATCAAAAAAATATATTAATATTTTCATTGATAATTATTTTAAAATTTAAAAAAAAGCGGAAAAACAACAAGCACATCCTTCGCCTTCAACGTTTTATATGTTACTGAAAGCATTTCATTATTTTTAAGTGAACAGCTTTTTTTTCTCATAGGGTAAGTTAACTCAAGATATGGGGAGTAACGGTGGTGTCAAGTTGAAAATATAATTAATGAAAGATAATTCTTAAATATTGATATAAATACCAAGTAAAGAAAATATTTGAAGAGGGAATTAGAAAATAATATCTAAAATACAATCAAATATTATTTGTTAAATACAAATTTTATATAAACTTCAAAATTTTACCTCTATTTTTATTTGAAAAAATATTAAAAACTTACTATCATTTATATCAATTACCTAGGAAAAAAAAATATTTAAAATGTTTGGAAAAAACAATCATATATTTTTATGACCGGATTTGAATATTTTTTTATTTTTGAAATAAATGGTATTTTACCAAATGACTCAAAAATTCCGACTGTAAAATAACAGGTATAATTCTTTCCGTTTAGAATTAAGATAGGTCATACATACACATGCAGGGACATTTTATAAATAGATTGCTCTTGTTTACCTGCTAATAAAATATGAAAGAAGAGCACAACAAAATTTTTGAAGCACTCAATATAACATGTTTGAAATAGTTTTAAAATAATTATTTAAAAAAAAATTTATTGGAAGTAGATACATACATATTTATTTTTAATAACTTAAAAACTAACTGAAATTATTTGAAACAATTTTATAAGTAACGTATAAATAACCGAAATGAGATAATTCAAATTGTTGAAATGTGTCAACCTATATTACCGACACTACTCAACTTGCCTTATTGGGAAATACAAAATGTGCATGAAAAATCATACATCCTTCCTCATTAACATTTGAAACCATACTGAAATATGAATTTGAATTTTTTTTTTCATTTTTTCTTTCCTGCTACCTTTCTTTCTTTTTCGTGCAATAGAATTTAAATGGGAAGCTTTTTAAAAAATGTGTATAATATCCTGAGATTTTTTAAAATATTAAACTCTTTTTTACTTAAAAAAAAAGAAAAAAATAATAAAAAATATGACACGATCAGTGGCATTTAAAGAAAAAACCAGCAACGAAGCCAAAAATTCGTAATATTTCGTAAAAAAAATTGAGTATTGGGACTTGTTAGATATAAAGACATTACTAAAAGTAAAGAGAATTTCAAAAATTCAAATTTTCATACAAAATACGTCAGCCCGTCGCGAAAGCAGTGAATTCAGTTTAAGGGCTTAAATTAAATATACACACCAAAATATTATGGAAACACCTCGTTCACACAATAACGAATAACACGTTTTTCTGCAACAGACAACTATAGTAATCTATAATATGTTAACCGAAGAGCATAAAATGCTATTTTTCTGTAGTGTGAATAGGGTATTAGAGTTTGACTTTTTGGTACAAATCGTAAACAACTCGTCTTAAAGTATCTTAAAACCCATACTTAAGCTCTAATAACATGTTATGAAAAGCATTTAATTACAAATTTTATATGAGAAAATAAGGATATGAATTATTTTTTTGGATTTTTTTTTTTCAGAAATTTAATTTCAAAAAATTAGAATTGACAATTGTCATCTTGTCATTTCTAAAAATTAATTTAATAAATAGAAAAAAATATGTCATCTAGAGACATGTTAATGTAGTGTGAATCTGATTTTGTGTAAACGAAGATTAAAATATGTTACTGTGTGAATATATATTTAGGTAATAGGCAAAATCTAGTTAAAATGTACTATAACAATTTTTTGTGACATGTTCTTGTGTGTCAGTTGTAATGTTTACTAAGTCTTATTTTTTTATTATCATTTGTTATACGTTTGGTTAAATGCTTTAATTTGGATATCAATTTAACAAAACTAAAGTACTTTTTTACTCAGGAATATTTACAAAAATAATCGAAACTTCCTATTTACTATAAAAAATTAAATAAAGTTGTATCAGTTTTATTACATATACATATATACCTAAAATTAGGCATAGTTGAAATTCTACATTAAATATCAATAATATCGTAAAACGTTAAACCTGGCCAACTCATCTTCTCATCATGGAAGAATTGGAGGGATCTGAACTAGGAACGAAAGAATATTGGGACACTTCATATAAAAATGAGCTTAAAAATTATAAAAGTCATGGAGATGTTGGGGAAATTTGGTTTGATGAAGATTCGCAATTACGAATATTAAATTGGATTCTAAAACAAAATATCAACACAAATTCCAAAATTATAGACGTGGGTTGTGGTAATGCTATGTTTATGATAGAACTGGCGAGAGAAGGTTATAAATGTCTTACAGGAATAGATTATTCTTATAATGCAATTAAATTGGGTACTTCAATCGCAAAGGATCAAAATATTGATATTGATTTTCATCTTATTGATATGTTAAATACTGACGATGTGAATAAGTTAGGAAAATTTGATATTGTTCACGATAAGGGAACCTATGACGCTATAAGTTTACATCCTGATAATCCTAAGGTCAAGCGAGAGAAGTACATTGAGAATATATCAGCAATTACTAATCGATCAGGATTTTTTATTATAACTTCGTGTAATTGGACAGAAACTGAATTAATAAATACTTTTCAATCGCATTTTGCAAAATTTTGTGCTATTCCAACTCCATCGTTTAAATTTGGTGGTAAAGTTGGAAATGTTGTATCATCAATAGTTTTCTCACCTAAAGTCTTATAAAAATATTGAAATTATAAAAAAAATCAAAGAATTCAGTGCGTTTACTTTTGAATTTAATTTACTTTTAAAAAATATTTTTTTAGCATGATTCTAAATCTGAGGGCAAGGGAATTTTATTAGCAATTGCGAATCTTTTGAGAGCATCATATTTGTTTCTCCAAGCCTCAATCTCAACTCTGATTGATTCATTGTCTTCTCTCATCATTTCCAAGCCCCTCCATTCATGTGATTTCTCAGTTTCCAAAACATCCTTTTGCTCAATACGTTTAATACGGCAACTGGCAGCGTATCCTCGGTTTTTCAATGTACGCCTTCTTTGTTTCATACGTATTATTTCTTCTCTTGTAAGACCTCTCAATTTGAGAGTTCGGTTTAAATCCCTTACAGATATTGTCACGAGTTCTTCATCACTAATATCCGGAATAGGACACGGCGATAGTGGTGTCTGAAATATCTTTTTATTAAAAATGCATTTATCTGTTAATAATATATAAGCAAACCATTGTTGACTTTTTTTCTCTTTTATGATCCAAAGGCATTTCAAATTTAAATACCAGAGAATTGAGTGATTTATCCTTTTTTTGCAAAACTTTCTCGCAATAAAAATTTTGATGCTTAAATGTATTTTTAATGCTTTGAACGTATATGTAGTATTGTTGTATTTAATTACATATTAGATTACAAATCTTCCTTTAACATATTATGGAATTAATTGGGATGGCACTAGATAGTCGTACTAAATTTTATAATCGATTCATTATTGCTAAGGTTTTTCAGCCAATAAGCATTTGACACATTTATAATTACTTAATGCTTTCTTACAATTTTTGACAAAGTTCTATTTTTTCTATATTTACATATATTTGATTTTTCGCCTATATAATAAATAAAGGAGTTCTTTTAAAAACTAAATTTATAAATAAATTTAAAATATTTAAGTTAAATCGAATGTAAATAATTTTTTGTATATTTTCATATGTAGACTTTTAAGTAACAAAGAACAGTTTCAATAAAATGTATAAAAAACGTAAAACATTATGTAAAAAAATTAATTTGAGTAATAAATATTTGTTTCTGAGATTTTTATTAAAATTTGCTTTCTTTTGAACAGTATTTTTAATGGTTTATTAAAAATTTTACGCTTTTTTAACAAAACAAAAATGAAAAGTAACAATAATTAATCTTTTTCCTACAAACATTTCTAATTTACATTGCCAGTTTTAAGGGTTCACACTCGCTGAATTCATATTTGCAGCCTTTTTTAAAGTTAAATTTACACTGCAAACATGAACACAATTAATTCTGGACAACTTATTAAACAAACGGAATGAAAAATTAATTGATAGTCAAAAATTAAAATTTAACTGAGTTTTTTTCAAATTTTGGTCTTATTAATGGACCTTATGTAGTTGATTCATTTTATAACTAGTTGAATATTTCTTAATATCCAAACATTTTATTTTGCCATACGAAATTTTTAAATAACAAATTTTATATTCTATCAATACTTTTCAATTTCAAATTTTGTATAGGAACGGGAAACATATAAAATTCTACATGAGTTTGTTTTATTGGGAAAAAACACGTTAACGCCACTTATTATCAAAGTTTATTTTTTATTACAATAACTGAGTTGAAATTTCATAAAATTTTTTTACCATTTCTTTCAGGAATATTTGACACTTTTTTTGAATTTTAATAATTCTTTTGATACTACCAATTTTTTTTAGTTTCTGAAATCGAACAAAGTAATCAAGAATCGTAAGCAAATTAATCGTTTTTTTTAAATTGATTAAAATATCACATCCCTAATTTATCTGTATCAACTTCATTGTTAATGTTAATATTCTTTTGTTCTTTTGTTATTAAGTGATTAAATCCTAAATCAAAAACTACTATTAACACTTAAAGTTTAATAAAAATTTTTATACAAGAATTAATTTTTTTTTATAATTTTTATCTTACCAATATGGAAGAATGCCATAGGAAGGTCATTCTCACTAACATTGACCTGTTAATTGCACACACAAAATACAAAGAACTTATGGAGGCTTGTGTTAAAAACGGTTTGTTGTCTCACATAATGAGAAAAAACATTGAGGTAATTAGTGATGTATATGTTTCTGTTTAATAATTTAGCATAAGCTTTCTGTTGCTAAATATATATATTTTTACAAATTTTAGGTTGGACAAAATGATGAGGTCTTAAAACACAGACGGCTCTTGGAAAAAGTCACAAGAAGAGGACCTGATGCTTACAACAAATTCGTTGAGGTTTTACAACAGTTAAATTATTCAAATGCTGCAAAAATTGTACGACCAGGTGAGCATAGTGGCACGATGACAAGTATTAAACAAAAGAAATTGGAAAAACAAGCGTCAATAAAAGAAAATAACTGCATATCTAACAACGAAAAAAACACAAATAATTTTAATTCTGATGGTTGCATTATCTCACAAATGGATATTGACGAAAAAGATGGGTATTCAAAAGATTTAAGGCCATATTCAAGGGAAATATCATCTGTTAATCAAAATGTTGTTGCTAAATGTACTTCGAGTCCACAGCATATTGTGAATCGCTCAAAAATTAAAATATATCAAATGGTTAGCAAACAACGAGGAGTTTTCTTTTGCGTAAATATCATTAACTTCAGATACAAAAATCAATACAAACGTTCTGGAGCTGAAATTGATGGGCAAAGCCTCTTACATTTGTTTAAAGAACTTGGCTATTCACTTTTCTATTACGAAGACTTAACAGCAGCTGAATTCTTTTCACTTCTTAAAAAATTATTGGACTCAGATTATGTGAAAAATGTAGATAGTTTTGTTATGGCGTTGATGAGTCATGGAGAAATGGTGGATAAAATAACTGATCGAGTTGAGTTCTCTGATAGTTCGACGGTTACTGTGAATAATATTCTAGAGCTTTTCCGGAATGATACATGTGCAACATTAGCTAAGAAACCAAAAGTCTTTATATTTCCTTTTTGCAGGTATACATTTAATTGCCATATAAATTAGGACATTTGCAAAACATTCAATTTAATACATACATATTATACAAACATCAATTTATATTATGCATGAAATTGATCGCAGTTTTACGTTGACTAAATATGTTTTTGTTTATTTAATTTTAGGGGCGCGATATCAGATTTAGGGACCAAAGATGTGCAAACAGATAGTATTAGCTATAATGTTGCTACTTTTACTGACATTCTCATTTGCTATGCAACAGTGCCAGGTAATTTCCTCATGGTTTTTTCAAAATACTTTAATACATTAACCTTTTAAAAAACTTTTTTACTTGAAATAAAATGAATGAAATAAATAAAAATATAAGAATATTTCTCTTTGACTTAGGATATAAGACCCACAGAGATCCAGATTCAGGATCTTGGTATATTCAGAAATTGTGCCAAGTTTTTGCCAGTCATGCTTTTGACACTCATATAGAAGATTTATTAAAGCTTGTTGGTGAAGCTGCTGGTCAGATCAGAACAAACGATGGAAAAATGCAAACTGCCAGTTATTCAAGCTATGGATTCCACAAAAAACTGTTTTTCAATCCTGGATATTATGAGGTATAATTTAAACCTGTGTACAATTCGTCACTTTGAAATGAGTGAGTAGCTTCAATCTTGGCTGAAAAGATAAAACAGCAACTTATTCTTTTCAGGTGACGATAAGAGTTTCTATGTAAAGTATAATCTAATTAAAATTAATATGTATAAAAATTTACAAATATCGTTTTAGTATGAATAGAGCTTTTGTTCTCATCATTCCACCAATCATTGTCTCCCAGAAGCCGAAATAGTTTGACTATTCAACTTAACTAAGATTCTCATTTGGACTCTTTCTCTAAACAACAAATATTTTGCAAACATTCATAAACAAGAATACTTCATATTATATATTATTTTTATATAAAAAAAAAGAAAGCAGTGTTTTTTTAGTATTATATATTTGATACATGGGTACCTACCTACCTACTTCTGTTCAAATTAACATACAATTTTGTATTACTAATATAATGAAATTTGTGTTCTTGAAGTACATATTATATTTTAACTTTTTGATATAATACTATAAATTTTGAACACATAGTATTAGATTTAATTAAATATATGCATAGTTATGTAATAATTAAATTTACAATTTACATACATTTTTATAAGAAATTTTTGTACAAATAAATAATATCTTAACTACATTTGCAAAAGATTTTTCATTTTTTAAATTTTCAATACCCGGTAAGGCTTGAATATACATACATACATACCCTTTATAATAGAATTTACACAACGAAATAAATATTATTGATTTAATAAAAATTTTGAAGAAAACGTCAAAAATTTAGGTGTACATACATACATATATGTTTTGGTAATGTCTTGTAATTATTATTATACTCTGATCTGCAAATAAGAAATACCTTGCCTTTTTAAGGTGAGGGTATTAAGTTATAAAAATTTATAGACGGCTTCGTTCGCAATTATTCTATTGTTACAACCGCAATTATTCTATTGTTAGAATTGAATTTACAGCCTGTTTGGTGTTTGAGATTTTCATACATATCCAGTTTTTATCAGAACATAACTTTTTGCTATTTCAAATAAAACATTATTGAAAGAAAGTTTTTTTTTGTGTTATTTATACTTTACAAAAATTTTGTAAATGGTTTAAAAATTTAACATTTTAGAATGTTGCTACTTACTAAAATATAGTATTAACATTTTACGATATTTTCTTCATTAAATAAGATATACAGTTTTTTATTTGAAATTAACATCAGAAATGTCCGATTCACTCTAAATTTTCAAAAAAACTTACAAAATAAACTAAGGTAACTGTAGTTATTCATTTATGCCGAGAAATACATAGTTACTAATGTATAAAATGTGCATTAACTAGCAAAGCTATAGAAATGCTATATGGGTTAACTTTTAAATGTGATTGTAGCGTATCGAAAAAAAATTTTAATACAAATTTTTGAAAAATTTAAAAAACAAAAAAACTCTGATTTTGACGAGCTTTATCTCGAAAAATATGGCACAAATCACATTGATTGTAAGAATGAAAATGAAAAGTAACCAATCGCTTTTAGAATAAGCCTGCGAAGTTTAATTTCAGGGATGCCAAATTGTATGGGTAGGAAGAGTGCAGATTTACACGCTTTCGAACTCAGCTTGTTGAGAAAAAAGGATACTAGATTACTGCAGAAAACCTTGCAAAATCAAAAAGTTAAATTTCCTGAGAATACAAGTCATTATTTGGTAGTTGTGAATGTTGACTTAATTTTCAAGTTGTCTTTTCAGTATGTTTTTCGATTACAATTACAAGTTCAGCGTTATTAATAAATTGTGACTCCTGAAAAATTAATTTATGTCTTATATATGTACGATATATGTATTCAAAGTAAAACATGTTGCGGATATTTCAAATTGTTTAATAGTTTTTTTCTTTAAAATATAAAATAATCACGCCTATTCAGCATGTAAATCACGTTGTACTTTTTCCCATGCTGCCATAGGACCATGTTCTGGTCTATATTTGACATTACAGCCGTCTGGAGCTAAACGGCCTGCATCACGCAATTCCTCAAATCGTTCACGGTCATATTTTGTGAAACCCCAGCGTTTGGATACGAATATTTTTTGTCTACCTGGGAACTTGAATTTAGCACGACGCAAAGCTTCAATAACTTGAGCTTTAAATTTGTCGGTTGATCGAACTGACATAATTGGTTGTCCAATATGTACACGTGCAACAGTACCTTGAGGCTTTCCGAAGGCACCTCTCATACCTGTTTGAAGCCTAAAACAAAATATATATTAAGACACAAAACCAAACTAAAAAAAATTGTAAAATTCGAAATGTTATTTTTCAGTAGTAATGTCAAAATTATAAATGTAAACATGTAATTTTCATAACCCAGTGCTATATAGCATATCATCATTAAAAACTTTAAATTATGTATGTAACAAATATTTAATTTATAAAGATTCAAGACTATTGAACTTACCTATCAGCTCCAGCGCATGACAACATTTTGTTTATTCTGATGACATGGAATGGATGTAATCTCATTCGAATGTGAAATTGATCTTTGCCGCAATGCTTAACTAAATATTTATTAGCACAAATGCGACCTGCTTCCAGAGCTTCAGAACTTAGCTGTTCGTATTCATCAGATACTAAATGTACACATAATGGAAAATCTTCCACTGTGGCCTTCTTTTTTCCTAAATCAAAAATACGGATTTTTGGATCTGGAACACCTCGACAAAATCTTGACTTGGGATATGGTTTATTTTTACAATAGCGATAACTGAAAATATAATTAATGTTAGGAACAAAGCTTATTACTTCAATTTTATTTAAAATGTTATAAATTTTATTGAGACAAAACTTGATCGAATTAACAAGCCATCCCACCCAAAAATTTTTTTTAATATACCCTTTCGACTTAAATAAATTAAAAATTTAATTAATTCTTTTATCTTTGTTAATATTCGAAAGGGATATCACAAATAAAATTTTATTTTAACATACCATCTAGCTGGACGTCGACCCATTGTGTCCTGAAATAATATAGATTTTATGATTAATAAAATTTCCAGAAAAAATCATTTTATTTCTTCGTTTATTAAATCTTATTTTATCAAAAGATTATAAAAGATTAAACATTAAACTTACTTTCGCCGTCCACAATTAGAAAAAGAAAGATAAAAGCGGAAATAAATCTGACAACTATGACATAAAATATATGTGACGTGTAGCGCTTGTCTAAACAAATTTTTATGGCAAAATAAATGATTTAACCCCTAGGTTTTTCATTGTAATTTTGTTTGCTCAAAATTACATATAAGGTTCTATCATGTAGGAGTGAAAAATTAGAAGTATTGATACAAAGGGCTCAACGAGGTTGTATGAAGCTGAAAAAGAAAAACGAAATATAAGATCTTACAATATTCGCTTTTTACGCCAGTTGAATATCATAAAATTAACTCGTAATTTGTATATTGGTCCGGATATATTTTTGGTTTGATATTAGTATTGGTGCAAGCATATTAAAACTTCTGCTTCTTTAAATAGGTAAAAGAATATTAAAGGGTATTATAGGCAGATATTTTATTGCAAGTGTCATGAAGACTCACCTTATTTTACATTATTGTAACATGTTAAACGTTTACACAATTAATTTCAATATTCGTTGTTATGTAAATCTTTACTATTTCAAGTCTAATGACCAACATGTATTTTCGCTCTATCAGTCTTTACAACATTTTTTAATTTTTACTGTAACTTAAACCAGTTTCCACTTTTCTACTCTGAGACACTCTATACTAAATTAATTAAAGTGCAGGTAACAAAGGTCAATATAATTTTCTGTCAATGAGACAAAATTTAAGTTTTTATTTTATCAGTCAAATTTTAATTTCTGGCCATCGTTGGTTTATAAATTGATGTAACATTTTTTTCCATTCATACAAAACAAATATTATATAAAATCTTTACTAGATTTTCAAGCGAATGAAATAAAAGAACGGCTGTCAGAGTTAGGTAACTCATTTTTTATAAACTTGCAGGCTAGTTTTAAAATAATTTGATTAATAAAATAACTAAATTATCTTTTGACAACGTTAAAGTATATTGTAAAATTCAACTTTTCAAAAAATTAAACAATAATTTTAGCGAAAAATTATTAAAAAAAAAGCAAACTAAAAAGGTTTTTTTAACAAAGTTTACAGTTAACACAAACTATATTTTATCATATACTGAATAAATTATAATCCATCCATATTTGAACAAAGGATAAGCAAAACAAATTTCATATTGGGCATCCCTAGATCAAAATAATGCACGTGGTAAGCTGTCACGTTTGAAGTTTACTTTAAAAAAGCTGACATTTGTTTGTTGTTTAGAAAACAAGTAAAGAGTTTTTGATTGTTATTGCATAAAGTTAAAAAATATTCTTTTATATTTTAAAATGAATAATGATGAAGAAATGGAAATTGTTGAACCAGAATGTGGGGACGACGAGATGGTAGACAGTGACGACGATAGTGAAAACGATAATTCAATTGAAAAGTCTGGTAAAAAAAAGGAAGTTTATTTACCGGGGAAAAAACCACTCCAAGAAAACGAAGAGCTAGTTTGTGATGAATCAGCTTATATAATGCTGCATCAAGCACATACTGGGGCACCATGTTTAAGCTTTGATATAATTAGAGACGAATTGAACTCTTCAGGCGACAGATTTCCTATGACAAGTTATATGGTTGCGGGAACACAAGCAGCACGTGCTCATGTCAACAATGTAATTGTAATGAAAATGTATAATTTACATCGTACCAGTAAAGAAGATGAAGATGATGAAGTGAGTGACGATGATGATGTTGAAGAAGAAGATAACGATTTGGAGAGTGAGGAAAAAAAGCCAAAAATGTCATGTGCACTAATTAAACATCAAGGCTGTGTGAATAGAATTCGAACTACTAAGCTAGGTAATGCTACTCTTGCAGCAAGTTGGAGCGAACTGGGTCGTGTAAATATTTGGAATTTAAATGAACAACTAGTGGCTATAGAGGACGAAGCAATCCTTAAGAAATATGAAAAAAATCAAGCTACAGAGCCGTCGAAACCAGTTTTTACATTTAGCGGGCATCAACAAGAAGGTTTTGCAGTTGACTGGAGTCCAGTTGTAGAAGGATTTTTAGCTACAGGCGATTGTCGGTAGGCCCTCTATACATAATTTGTGCTATTTAAGTATTCTATTTTTGAACAATGTACGTTACTTTTGATTAGCCGTGATATACATATATGGCAGCCTGTTGAAGGTAGTAGTTGGAGAGTTGATCAACGCCCTTTAATTGGACATACAGAATCCGTTGAGGACATACAGTGGAGTCCTAATGAGAGAAGTGTAATGGCGTCTTGTTCAGTAGATAAAAGTATAAGAATATGGGATATTAGAGCACCGCCGCAAAAAGCTTGTATGTTAACTGCGGAAAACTCACATGAGACTGATATTAATGTAATTTCGTGGAACAAAAATGAACCATTCATTGTTAGTGGTGGTGATGATGGATTTTTGCATATATGGGATTTGAGGCAGTTTCAAACGCAAAAACCTGTAGCGACTTTTAAACACCATACAGGTCATGTAACGACAGTAGAATGGCATCCACGCGATTCAACTGTGTTCGCGTCTGGTGGCTCAGACGATCAAATTGCGTTATGGGATTTAGCTGTAGAAAAAGATGAAGATGAAGATGAAGTGTGTAGTACTTCAAACAACCAGGATGAGTTAAAAAATTTGCCACCGCAGCTGCTATTTATACATCAAGGGCAGCAGGATATTAAGGTTTGTGATTGTTTTATAGTTTTGAGATGAGTACATATCTAATTTGATTTTTTTTCAGGAATTGCATTGGCATCCTCAATTGACTGGTGTGATTCTTTCAACTGCTAACAGTGGTTTTAATATTTTTAGAACTATAAGTGTATAAATAATAGTTATTGAATATATATTTTTCAATAATTAAATATGGTTTTTGATCGGAAAGTAATCAAAAATCGATACGATACATATAAACATGCTTAGGTGCAAAATTATGCGAGTGTACAATACGTAGCGAATTATTTGGATGTATGATATTGGTGTGTGTTTTGTATCATCATTTGATTACTTTTTGTTTATTATATTGTTTTTATAAGTGTTTCAATATATCGATTAACACACGAACTTTTTGTATTTTATCTTATTAACCTACAGTCAAAAAGCAACTGCAAAAATACTTAATGAATAATCATCGTATATACCCCAAATTGGTCTTTGCTTCAAACATTTTTTTCGTAGCTTTTGCTCAATATGTACATATGTAAGTCTTTTACCACTAAAAGTGTAGACAAAAAATAGTATGCCTTGGTCTGAAACTAAAAATTGAAACTAAAAAACCTATTATTATTGTTAAGACTCTCGCTTTGTTGTAAATAATTTTGTAATGGAAACATTTACAATGTGTTTATTAGGAAAGAGCTGCATATTATGTAGAATTGTTTAAGAAGTGGTTGAACTTGTATGTAGTGAATTGCAACTAGTAAGGGAATTTTGAAATTCAAAACATTTATTTTTATTTTGATCTCAACTGAGATAAAAAGTAACAAAAAAAATTAATGATAAATTTCGATGCGCTTATCTTAACTGTGTTAATATGAAATTGAATTTGTGCTGCAGATTGTAATAAATGTATAAACACACAATAAATTTTTATTTTATTTTGTTTTTTTTTTTTTTATATTTTTCACTAATTTAAAATAAGAAAAATTGAATCTCGTTCGATTTTTAAATGATTTACTTTTAACGCTTTCTTTATTTAACTTTAATATGAAAACAGCGAACGGAATTCTGCCTTTTTATTCGTTTCGCGATGAGTTCCTTTTTAAAGTTACTATTTTAATAATTATGAAAAATTCGTGGAATTGCAATTGGGTAGTCTAAAATGTTTTGAACTTAAGTTGGATTGACTTTGTTTATAAGTTTGACAACACAGCTTTGTAATGTAAATTAGAGCATGTTTTCAATGTTATAAACAAAAGCAAATATATGTACATTCTTCAGATAATCAGGTATTCAACCCAGTATGTAGTAAAAATAGAGTCCTACATACTAAACAAATTTATTTAGAGTTCAAATAAATTGGAACTGTTTTCATGTATATATGTAGATTGGGGATATGCGCAGCCCTCTCTTATATTTCTTCCACCACTGCTATGAAAGTAAAATTTATTTGTAGGTTGTGGCAAAATTATTACGTCCAATGCATTCAAGTGCCAATAGTCTCATTTCAGGGGATTTTTGAAAATTCAATTTTAATTTAGATCTTAATATAATGCATGTAGCATGTTCGATAAATCTTTATTAAAAAAGAAGCAAATTCGAAAATTTTAAAATTTTCCTAATGTTTCAAAAAAACATTTTTGAAGTTTTTCTTAAATATTGCAAAAACACTTCAAGTTTAAAAAAAATCATATAGAAAAAGTTAAGATTTTTAAAGAAATAAACTAGTTTATTCCTTTAGATCTGTAATAATACTAAAAGTTTTTAAGATTTTGAGTAACTCTTTAGGTGCATATCAAAAATTCCTTAATTTTAAGGAAAATAAGAACATTTTTTTGAATTTTCAAAAAACCAATGCATTTTTGAAGCGTTTTCCGTAAATTCCCTTCGTAATTGTGCGTGGGCCTGAATTTATTTCTGAATCAAACAGACTAAATGCCAGGTACCTGTTAAATTCTAGGTACGTACGAGTACAATAGCTAAAATGTTATGAGAAAATATTACCTTTCATTTTTTGATTAAAATTTTTTACACAATGTTATTTTTGCATTAAAAAACAGGAAAAAAGGAGAACTGTTTTTTCCAAACTAACTTTTATATATAAAATTTATGTACATACATATGTATATGTTAAAATAGATAAAAAATTTTCAAAAATAGAAGACTGCAGTCTATGGATTTATGTATAATTTTACAAATTTTTGAAATATGGATTAATTATAAAACAAATATTAAATTTTATGACCATTTATTTTTTAAAATATTTCCATTAGTTATAAAACATTCATAAGAAAACTCACATGTACATACATAGTTGATTTTATTTTATTTTAGTTTTTATTTTCTTCTATAAAATTTAGAAAAATTACTATATAATACAAATAATTTTCATAAAATTATAATATTATTAATTATATTCTATATGTATGTATGAATATATTTTATATAATATATACATATGTATATTTGTCTGTAAAACTAGTAAATAAATATTATTAGTTCAGTTTTGATATTTTTCAAAGTTCATTACGTAAAAGAAAATGGGTTGTGAGTTACCTAAAACTTAAATTAACGCCTATTTTCAGAAAATAATTTTTTTTACATATACATTACACATATACATTTTTTTATAGTAATTGGATTTATATTCAATATACATAATACGTATATATTATTGCATTATACATACATACATATGTTATATAAGACTACGTAAAATATTTATATTTTATTTATATTTCTGTATACATATATAAATTACAAGTACAATGTATAATTATTTTTTTTTTGCACACTATGTATGTAGTTACAATGTAGACATGAATAATTTAATTTTCCAAGAAGTTCCTAAATATTAACAAATTTCATTGAAAACTTTTATTTCAGTATTTACAAATTGGTTTCAAGTTCAATTTTTTTGTTGATCTTTGATTTAATGTTGGTTTTTTTTGGTTGCGTTCACATAAATATAATTTAAACGTAAGTTCGTTGAATTGAAGATTTCCTTCTAGATTCCCTTAACTGCTAAGGTCTTATAAAAATCGAACATTCTTCCGTACTGCATCGTAAAATAAAGAAACGAAAATATTATATAATATTTGTTAATTTAATATATTAATTATATTTTTACCTATATTAAAATTACTAATATTAAAATTAAATTATGTAAGTAGTCTGATTAAATTTTACAAATTAATTCAACAACGAATGAGAGATGTCCTTACATAACATATACAAAAAAATTGCATGTCCTATATAAATTTTAAAAATGATTTTATAAATTTCTTGAAATTGCAAGAAACTTTATAATATTATTAATTCAAATGAATGGAATGTTAAAATGGTACTGTCTCAGCGAATTTTATTAATATATTAGTTTGAAATTAGATAGATTAAACGATAATTTATGAGATTATTAAAAATTTACGCACTATTTATGAATATCAAATAAAAACATATAAAATGTGATTTCTATGCAGGGTTCAATTTCAGAGTCGAATGAGATTTCGGTATTCTTAATAAAAGCGTATCCGAAGCAAAACACAATTTTGGTTTTTGGTTATATTATTAATAGTTTTAATGTTCTAATAAATTAGAAAATTATTCGATTTATATTTACAATTTTTTTTTAAATTTATTGAAAAAACTTTTTACATATTTATTTGTGGAAACATAATATGCATAAGTATTTCTTTGAAAATTTATTTTTGCTTGGAACCCAATTTGATTTTTGTCTCAGCGAATTAGCTTTATGCAAATTTTATTATTATTATTATCAAAACTATTATATGTAAAGTTATACAAAGATGGTATTTTTTTAAATACCATAAGGTAAATATATAATAATAGAAAAATTAAAATTATAAGAAGTTACAGAGAGCAATTTTTGGAAAAAAAAAAAATTGTTTTTATTTGGGTCCATTATTTGTATTCTTTACTTTATAAAAATAATTATTTCTGTTCATTATGTTCAGAATATTCAATAGATTTTTATGCCTCAGACTAGTTTAAATGGACATGTAATAATGAAAATGAAGATATTTCATGTAACTAGGTGTTCTCAAGATGTCATTTCTTTCAAAGATTGTGAAAGAATTAATAACTTTAGTTTTTGAATTTATTCAGAACATTGAATTTTACTTAAAATGTCAAATGCTAATTAAAAGTACGCTATTTTAAAAATTGTACATCAAGTTTACAGTACAAAACAAATTGTGTGTATTTACTTTTTGTAAAAATTTACAAAAATAATTAAAATTGTTAATTTAGAGTACAAAAACACAAAGTTAAGATTAGAAACATATTTAATGAAATCAATGTCTATTGTATGTATACAAGTACGAAAATACCTTTTTATATTAAGTATATGCCAATACATATGCATAATATATCTAATTTAAAGTTGTGCAAGTGGTATTGGTAGAGGTCAAACTGAAATAAAACAACTTCTGTTTATAATGTTTTTTAATCATTGTACAATTATTATTAATTGATATTTAATGAATATTTAATGCACATAGTTAATAAAATTAGAAGTTTGTTTGTTTTTGAGGTAAAAGTTGTGTTTTGAAATTACCACTTTTAGCTTTAATATGGGGCTATATAGTGGCTTACAAGGTTCAAAAATAAAATGAGCTGCCAAAAAGAATTATTTCACTAATTTTTATTGAAAACAATTCAAAGGTTAGATGTCTGACTTTAAATTATGAAAATAATTATTAAAAAATTATAATTACTGTAAAAATTTCGGTTTAGATAGATGGTTTGTGAACAGAGATAAGGGGCAAAGTGAAATTAATATGAACACTTTCTAATTTTTTTTTTTTAAATGTGCTAAAAATGAAATAAATTCAAATAATTTAGTTGATTGGGTTCGGTATTCTATACTTTTGCATCACCATGTTTGTTAAATTTCTTCTTTTATAGAAAACAAGATTTTCGCCAATCATTCTTCTTTTTCATTTACCATAATTAAAAAGAAGAAATTTTGGTTTTACTTACCGTAAACTTTCAGTTCTTGATCTTGGTGAATAATCTTTGGACAATTTATATCGACTGAAAAAAAAAATATAGATGAGAAAAAACTTAAAATTTATAATTAAAAAATTCCTGATTTATTTTTTTTTTGAGATAGATGAAAGGATTTTATAAGTTAAACATCTAAGTCAAGTTAAATGAATAAAACCGATTCAAAAAATCTATTTTAATTACAAATAAATTTCATTCAGAATAGAAACGGTTCCATTCTTATTTTCGATATCTACTCGTATAATAACATTTACAATATAAAAGATTTAATTAGTTTGTAAAGAAATGAAACTTCTAAACATTTCTTTTTTGAAAAATCCCATTGATCGTTAATTTTCTAATTTGAATTGTATATATTGATTTTGGCTATATATTTTTAAATTAAAGACAAAATACATTAATTATTAGGGGATTATATAATAAGGTTAAAAAAAAATTCAAATTTTTAGATAATATTAAAAAAGTTGTTATATATAATTCGCAGTTTATCTTAATAGAATATACCTCCTATTTCTTGTTGAGCTACCTGTACTTATATTTCTTGCATCATGCCATATTTCCAATTTATGTCTTAAAGCTTGTCTTACTTCTGAATTGAGGAAACAAAAAAACACTGATACTGAAAGTCCCTTTAATAATTATTATTTAAAAAAATTTGTTGAAATGTGTACGTACATGAAAAAAAAAATAAAGAATAAGTTGTTTAAAAAATTGGAAATTTCTAATTATTTTTTGTATGAAAATAATGTGATTATATTATATAATGTGGTGATTGTATAATGCAGGTTTGAAAATATTAAAACATAAGATTATTCGACACTAAAATTTTTAGCTTTTTAAATTTAAAATATGGAAAAGTTGTCACAAGAATTTTTTACTTTTATACAGTTGAAAATTGCCATATTTAATTATCATCGGATTGGGTTTTTCGATCCGTTTTGTTGCAAAATTTTCATATTTCTCGACTCTTCACTGAAATTTTTTAATATTATGGTAAACAATGAACTTGAGTTAGTAAATTTTTACCAACATAAATCGCTTGCTGAAAAAAAGCATAGCTAATTTATTTATGTTGAAAATTTAAGTAGAACTTGCCAATCTTCGAAAGTTTCAATGATTTTTTGACCCCAGTCAAAATATGATCAGTACCATATTGAAAATTATACTTACATAATAATTATGTATGTATAGAAAAATGATCATAGCCAAAGAGAATGACTGCACCACAATTTGATTTCATTTTGAAAATTTTACTTTTATTAATAATTTATTTTTATTTTATACTCTTACTTGTGTACTTATTAAAAGTGCTTGTACAGCATTAAATATGTGACTCTCTAGTCCATGTGATGGTCCTTCTAATACTAAAAGATATGTTATACCTAATAATGGTATTAAAACCAATAAAGCTTTTGAAGCTTTACGGTATTGTCTGGTTTCTTGTGTATTTGCTGAACGCAGTTTTGTTATAAGTACCTAAAAGTATAACAAAATCAAATTATTGAAAAAATATTTAAAATTTTTATTTAAAATTGAAAAAAAATTATCTATATTATTTTATATTTAATTTTACTTACCCACATTATTCGTATTAGAAATATTAAATTTAATATTAAAACTAAACATGTTGGAACGATATGTACCCAATCTGCATCAGATTCACGTAACCATAAACAATCAATTTGAAGCTAAAAATAAATTATATAAGAATATTTATGTTTAATAAAAATTTTAATTTTTAGTAATAAAATTTTTTAATGCTTGATAATGTATATATGCTTGTATATCCGCATAAGTCATCACTTTTAATAAATAATTTAGTAAATAATTGGGTACATTACAATTAACTTTTGAAGGACATCTTTATTATAAGTATAATATTAAATGTGCTAACACAAGCAACTAATATTGCTTAATTAATTACAATAAATTTTTAGAGTGGTGTTTTATATCATTAAACAATTAATTATAAAAAATACACACAAAAAGGGTAATTTGACTATAAGACTCTATCACAAAAAATTTAAGAAATGTCTATTTTATTTAAATAAAGTAAGGCGAACAGTTCATTTATAATAATTTTTGAAAAGATTATAATATTAATAATAATTAACGTACTAGTTATACTAGAGAATAAATTCGATTTAAATAAATATAATGCAAATACTTTGAGTATAGAAAAAAACTTTCAAAATTGCTCGAAATAAATGTTGGATTGCCAAATTCTGGAAAGATTCCTGATTTTTGAAGGATTCGTGAATTTTAATTCTTAAATCAATAACTCGTGCAGTTTCAATATTTCTCTCGTATAGAATAGTAAAGAATTATGGGAATAATAAATAACTCTTTCAATTTTATCAGGTTATTCATATCTAGTTTAAATTAACGTCACTTATAATTCATTTATCATAAAAGAATAATTAATTATTCTTGCCAGTGTGCCAGTGAAGGCTTTCATTTATGCTAAAACAAACTTTTCATTACTAATTCTTCTGTAAATCATAAATCATAAAGTGCTTCCTTCTTATTTTCAACGATTTTTTATCAAGTTCATTTTATAAAATTTTTATTATAACCTTTTAACTGGCAAATCATCTTTTATTTAAAACTATAAAAATTTAATTGATAATTGTATATAATTTTAATTAAACTTGTTAGCCAGTTGAACAATATTTTATGTATAGCTTTTGGCTTTAAAAAAATAATATGAAAATTATTTAAAAAATTAAATTAAGGACTATATAATTTATCCTAACAATTTTTTATAAATTCATTTCGATTATCACCGCTATATATTTAAAATTTTTAAAAGTCGATTGTAAAAAAAAAAACAAATAAAATATAAAATCTGTTGAAATTAATGTAGCTTGAATTACGAAAATTCTATTCACAAATTTATTTCTTTTTTATGTTTTAGAATATTTCATGAAGTAGAAATTTTTTTAAGGTCTACTCATGGTATAAAGTTAATGGAACAGTCAACAAATTCATTTAAAATTTTTTTTTTTAATATGATGGTTTGGTTACCAAAGTCAGTATAAATGTGTGTACATATTTATTTTTTTATTTAAAAATTCTAAACTACAATTTTTTAGGCAAAATTTGAGGTGCAAAAAGAAGCCCGTTTCCATATACAATCTTATAAAAAATTGATTACTTTTAAATTTAAAAATAAAAATCAAATATTTTTAAAATTAAATTTGTAATGAATAAATATCGGAAATATATATTTTAAGATGAAGATTCAAATTGTGATAAAAGAAAAGCCTTAAATTATTCTGAGAGAAAGTTCAATATATAAAAACTTAAATTTAAGTCCTCAGAAATAAGTTTAAATTATTAGAATTTCCAGTAAAACTTTATACAGTATTTAAATTCAATTAATAAAATTAAAGTTCAAGTGGTTTTCTGAAATTAGAATGTCATTTTATTCTTTTAGAGATTTATTGCAAAAAAAATGAGGCAGAACTTTGTCCAATAGACTGACATTTAAAATGTTATAAAAAATAATGTTTAATTTTTTTTGAAAATTTTCTAAATAAGTACCTTTTTTTCCTTTTTTTTAAGGGTATGAAAAAAAACATAATTTTCAATGATCATAGGTTTAGATTAAGAATTATTAAGCCAACATAAGCATTTTACTCAATATTTTTTGGGGTTTATATCTTTTTAGCTTTAAGCCAATTTTATCAAGATGTGAAAAAGAAATACTTGTATTCGCATATTTACTTAGAAATAGGAAAAAATCAAATAGAAAAACAGAGTAAAAACAGAAAGATATTGGGAAATTGTAACTTCTAAATTGATAATAAATGTAAATTTAAAGTTATACATATACATATTAGGTCAAATTTGTAGAAGTGGCTGTATGTATAACATTAACTTTGAATATATATATATATATGACTGTTTATGACACGATTATCCCATGTTAAGAATCATCTACATATACCCCTTTTTTAAAAATTAAATGAAATTTTTTATATTTTTTTTGTTCGCATATGTATCTTGTGACCCCACTTGATTCATTTTTGAAATATATATATGCCTTTACTTAAGATATAATTTACACAATAATGATATTTTATTTAATTTTAAGGATATTTTGTAATTTTTCACATCCAAATGACTAAAAAATAAAAACTACAGCCTCCTATATTTATATTGTATGTATACTTTTGGTTTTAAAAATGAATTTCGACCGAAATGAATTTTTTTTGCATATGTACATGTATATATTCAAGCAAACATATACAAGTATTTATATACATCTGTATATATGTTTGATGTTATATATTTAGTAATTTTAAATTACAAAAAGTGTTTATTTTTATATCAAAATTTTTGGTTAGTGAAGTTTTGGAAAAAAAAAAATTATTTTATCATTTGATTTAGCAAATTTTTATAAGGAAAAAAGCGGGCAAAAGTCCAAGCCAATGCTTATCTAAGGTGTCTGGTTGAGGATTTGGAGACTTTATGTAAAATTTATCGAATACATATTTTAGGTTGACTTACAGATTGTATAATTATGCCTTCGCTTATAAGTTTATTTAAAAATGGTGAACAATGTTATTTTTCAAAATCAAGTTTCTTCTTTTCTACCCAGTTTTGTATTTTCCCAAAAAATTAAATTGGGGGATTTAAATGAGAAAATTGTAGAAAATATTCATAATTTTCTTCAAATAATTTCATGTTTTCGTAAACTTCATACCGTAATATGTGACACGTTTGTCTTGGTATTAATTTAAACTCAACCATAATAGAACGGTTTCCTTTTGATTTTTCTAATTTTTGATAATTTTAAATACACTTCACGTTATTTAGAGTTAGAATAACTAATTATGCTGTTATATAATAAAAATGTAGTATATGAGTTTGTTTTAACATAGTTTTTACAGATGTGAAATGATTATTATTTTATTACATGATGCTCAGTTGGTTATTGCAGTCTTACTATTTTTTTAAAGAAAATAATAAATTACCCCAGCAAAATATTCTGGTTTCAGTGCTGGTGTATACATTTTTGCTATGGACCAAATAACTACTATAATCGCTGGACATCCTATAAAGAAAGAAATAGTCTTGAATTTTGATTTTTTTTATATAAATGTAGAGTAACATACCCCAGCCAATAAATGCGTAAATAGCAAATTTAATGTTATCACTTGAAAACGTTTGTACAACAAGCGTGTAAAGATACAAACCTAAAAATAAAAAGTAAATTATTTTTGTTGTTTTTTTTTTGTAAGTTTCAAAAGTTGTGTATATAGAATTATCGGAATAGAAAAATTTTTTGATCTTGAAATTAAACAAGACACAAAAAAAAAAAATTGTTTCATAGTTTCAAACTGCTTATTTACCCTTTCGAAAACTTTTTATTTGAAGTTTTAAGATTTTTTTAAAGGGAAATACAACAATTTTGCCAAATTTTCTTAAAATTCTATTACCTCACAATCGTTGAGGTTTGGTGTCTATAAAGTCACTTTGTATACAAGATGATTTATATATGAGATTTTTCAATAATAACATATTATGCTATAATTTTACAATATTAACGACTTTAAAGCAAATGTTTTAGCAAAATTTTAAAATATGTAATAATGAAATCGAAATATTTACCTCAATCTTATGTAAAGTAAAATATTGAAACTATTTCAAGCAATTATTTAAAGCCATATTATTTTATTTAATAGCTTACCTTCAACTAACATCCAAAAAAAATTTGTTAATTGAAAATAATGATATAAAAGTACTAAAATTCCACATCCAACTGAACTTGGTGACTCTGCCATCTAGTAAGATTATATGAAAAGAGAAAAAAAAGTTTTTTTTTTTTTTAAAATTAAGCATTTTAGTTCCTTTTACTACGACCTGGAGAAATAACGTTAGAATCCACAATGATGCCGATAAGATGTAAGTTAGAAAAAGATTTGCATGAATTGTATTCCTTAAGCATTTCAGGTCTCTGAAAAAAAAGATAAATTAAATAATAAATAATTCAATAAAAAAAAACATTCAGATATTGTTATCGGTAATTAATTAAATAGTTGAAAGGGCTGGCTAAAAATTTTTTAAACAACTTTTATGTTCAACAAGGATGAATATACGTAGGTGCGGGCTGAAGAGGATGATCATTTTCATTAATTTTTATACTAATTGAATCTTTTAACGTAAATACTATATATGTATGTTTGAGTTGATTAGGTAAAATTTCTATTTGAATTGTAAAACATTAAAAAAAATTAACAAAAATGTGCTTATTACATTTTACGCTGAACGGACAGTTCATTTACAAAACCTCTACACACTATGAGATAAAAGAAAAGTGAAATTTCATGAGAAATAGGCTTTATTGAAAAATTTTATGTCATTGGATAAAATTTTTTGCCGATTCCCTACCAAACTCGAATAATAACCCTTTTTCAAATTCTAAAAAAATAATTTCCAGACAGCTTGTTATTATATTTTTTGTTTTTTGAAAAAAAAATCCTTTAGTTTTTTTATTAAATTTTTCACTCTTCTTGTTCTTTCCAACTCGAATATTTTTAAAAATCAATTCAATTTCTATCAAGTTATTTTAAGAACAAAATATTATTGTAATTTTAACAGAATTTCAGTGGTTAATTTAGTTTCATATAATATTTAAAAATCCAAGTGTATACAGAATTTCCGTGGCTCGCACTGTCGAATTAAGGTGATAGAATGCGGTCTGATGAAAAAAGTGCACTTGAGCTCTTTTTCTCTAGTTAAGAAGTGTAAAAATTATCCTTTCTAAAAACTGTTTAGTTCCTACATTTTTAGATAACTTTTCGAAATACTATCTTGAAATTAAGTAACTAATGAAGAAGGGTTTAAAAAGAAAATATCCAAATTTATTTCATACTGAAATCTTAATATAAAATTATTCCTCTTCAATTTAAAACAACAGACGATCTTTTCGTGTAAAAGATAGTAATTGAAGATGCTCTTTGATATTTTACCAAAAATTTTGAAAATTTTTTTACACCCCTTGATTTTCATATGTCAAAAACTTTATTATTCTAAAATTTTTTGTGTTTATTTTTATTTTTTATTTTTTGAGATTATGTTAATGTGCTACAAGAAACTTTAAAAGTTTTGTTCATTCAAAAATTATTTTAATTTTTATTTTATGATTCTATGCAAAGAAATAAATATATGTATAACAGTTATAGTAATAATAATTGTATGTACAATATGCATCAAGTGTTCTAAATTAATATTACTCTATTCTATTACATAATATTATACTTATTGATACCATAAAAAAGTTATTATACGTGTATACGCTTCTAAGCTTACTTATGGTACATGTAGAATTTCGTACGTTCCATATAGTAAACGCTATTTCTACATAGAATGAGAATATACCATTAAAGTTCTGTATTCAAGAATATGTACTGCAATTTTATAAAATGCTATATACCATTAAAAAAAATTGCATATTTCTCGGTGCCAGTAGTAGGTATTAAGCACGCGATTTGAATTAAAATTGCAATATTGCACTTCTTGTTATTCTCATAATGAAAAATATTAAAGAAAAAAACCAAGTCAATAACAATTTATGCAGTTACATAAAAAATAAGAATAATATATATAGGGAAAAAAGGATATAAAAAAGAAATTCTCATTATTATAAAAATTTGTAGAAAAAGTGAAATAAGAAATTTAATTTGGATTTTATAACTTGCAAAGTTTTGAAGAAAAAAAACTTTTTAATAAATTGTTTTTTACTCTTATTTTGGAATTTCTTTTTCATTTTTTTTTATTATTAAATGATTCTTAGGATTCAAGATTTATGGTTTTGCTATTCTTGAATTTCAAAACTATATATAAATGATTAAATACTTTGCGAATATTTTTATAAAAAAAAAAGAAATTTTTATAAAAACAAAAAGAATTATGAAAAATTCACAATAATCTTGAAATTTTTACTATAATTCATAAAGTATATATTTTATAATTAATTATCAACATTATAACAGATTACAAATATCCATATATATATATATATATATATATAAGAAATATATGTATGAAGGTTCTTAATTTGTTAAAGCTGATATGTTCATACTGTGATTTATTGAGGAATACCATATTTGTTTTCATATTTGGATTGAAATATTTACATTCATAATAAGAATGTGTTTTTATTAGATTTTGGAAAATTTTTAAATTATGCTCAGATATTATAAAACAAACTCGCTATATTTGCGGGCTTACAATTTTGCACAATTTACATTACTACCAACCGCATTGCATACAATATGGGAGATTATGAGGATGACACAAAATTTTGACGTCACTTCTCCACAGTAGTGAAGCGTAAATAAACTGTTTTTAGAGAGATGTCTGAGTGTGCACTCAAGTTTAACTGAACCAATTTTGATGAAATTTCATATGTGGGTTTGTTTTGGCTGTCTCACGGATTGATCAACTTTTGGGATATACACTGAACCATGGAAACTTGACCTTTTTGCGGGCCGATTTACATCCTTGCGTATATAAAGAGAAATTATTAACCGACTCCACTGAAATTTAATATTTAAATTAGGGGTGTTAAAATAATAAATCTATAAATTTTTTAGAAAGATCAAGCCTCGGAAAACGAATTGGCGGCCGATTTTATATTTCTTATTTACGGAAGGTATTGTTGACTAAAAGTTTGTTAACATCCTTAAAGTTGAAAGGAACTGTTTAAAAGGCATTTTTATAATTTTCTGTAATACTTTCACTAATGTAGTCAACATACATTGTGATCGGTTATGTGGTGATCACATCAGATTTTTTTTTAGTATTTAGTGTAGATGATAAAGGACATGAATAGGTATGCATTAAACATGAATAGAAAAATTATATTAATTTTTTCACTTTTAAATTTTTTTATAATTTAATATTACATAATGTATACAATATTTATAATCTAATGTACACAAAATATTTTTAAAATTAGATACATCAAATTTATTGTATACTTACTTAAAATATACGAAAACGATTAGTGCTAAAGTTAATCCTATTAAACTTAAAAAATATCCTGTGCAATATATAATAGTGGGTAATTCTTCTTGTATCGCAGATGGATCTGTTGCTATATGACGACATTGATCATAATTTGAATAACTGGACCAGGTACCGTTTTCAAAGCAAAAACGTGTTGCATTTTCTAAAACGAAATAAAAACAAAATAGGAGAACTAATTATATAGTAATAGTATATGAATTTACTTTAACAATTATTTTTTAAAAATATTTAAAAAAAAAAAAAATTTGAAATATATTTATTATAATTATATGGGGCGGCGACGGATCTTTCTAATATTATTCTATCAACAAACTATAAATTTTATGTCTATAGTTGGAATATATGCAAATCAGATTTTTCTGGCCCAATTTAGTTTTCTGAATGAATATACGTATTTCTTATTTAAAGTGATACCTATAATTTTGTATAGTATGTAATTTGTCACATAGATATTTCGCATTCGCGAGATACAGTAATTTCTCACATAACATTATCCCAATATAGAAAAATTCAATACAGATATTTAAAATTTTTAACATGATATGCTTTACATAATAGAAATTCATGAATCAATAAATTTTATGTTATATTAATATTCATGAAAACATAAAAATAGTATGTGGGGTTTGCCTCTACATGCAAATTAAAAGAAATTTTGCTTCATTAAACGCGTATATACATAATTCCAAAATAATTTTTATTTATATATAATATTTATATATAAGTATGAAGATTTTAATTATAATGTTACTCGTGAATAATTCTTAAAATATACACATTTATATTAATTTTAAAAGTCTAAATTAATAAATTTTGATACGAAATGTTAAGATTTTTAATTAATCATTTCTATAATTAAAAAAACTAACTATATTTTTTGATTTTATATATTGATTATGTCTCATTACGTATACGAGAAAAATTAAAATTTTTCATATAAAAAATATTTATGTACGGTGGAGTCTTATATAATTAACATTTTATTTAATTGAAATCTTTATTTATCAAATAATCTGCTGAACTTTAACATTATTTTTTCATTTTGAAGACTCACTATGAAATACAATATCTGTGCATTACAAACCAAATGATTACACTTATGAGATTTTCATTCTATAGAGATTTCAATTTATATAAAAATTTTTGAATATTACTTTAATAAATTATTAATAGAATTGAAATCATGAAAGTATTATTAATTTTTAAGCCCTCCATATTCGTATTTCACGTTTTATTTGTTAACTTTAAAGGTTTTTTTTAAAAAACGTAAATATTATGAAAATATTATGATTAATTTTCGGGAATTTTTCTTAATTGCATATACATAAACTGATATGTTTGAAAGCTAAGACCTTTATATAAATTTTTAAAAAACTATTGAATCACGATGTAGAGTTTGTAAGCATTTTAAAATTTCTAAGAGTTTATCATGTTTCTGTTATAAATAACTTTGAAATGTGCATTTATGTTCGAAAAACAACAATATCAATTGAAAAACTTCAATAGTAAAATTTCTGTTCAACTTTAATGCAAGCATTATACTGGTATTAATTTCAACTGTAGTGTAAGAATGTTTAAAATAAAAATTTTTTAAATTGAATCCAAATAAAAGTTTTTCTTATAAAATTTAAGATTCGAATGTAGGTAAATAAATGTACAATGGAGACGACACGTACAAATTTATTATCGTTTTGAGAGAAATAAAAAATGATACCCTATACCCTTTTTTCCCCGTTTTTTTGTTTTATTTGAAAAATCTCAAAAAAAACGTAATAAGTTTGAGATAAAAAAATTCTTTAAAAAAATTCTTTTCATCGATTCTTTTTTAATATAAGATGTATGTATACGTGTGTATGTATACCAGATGTATGTATATGTGTGTATGTATACGTGTATGGTAAAGTGATTTGATTAAAGCGACATAAGAGAAATTATACGGTTTATTTTTTCTTGTAACCATATAACTGCATATACATATATGTACAAATACTCGTATATAAAATTTTTAGAAAAAGAAAAATTTTTGTTTTTATATTTAAACTTAAGGACATTTTTGTTTCTTCTCAGGACAATTGTCAAATTTGTACAATAATTGTGTATTCATTACATTCATGTTATACGAGGGTTACTATTTATATTTCGGGTCTAGCAATAAAAAACAAACATTTATCATTGGAAATGGTTTTATTGTTTTTCAAAATATTCCCCATGAAGATCAATACACTTTTGCATGCGCTGAAACCAATTTTCGTAGCACTTTTTCCACTCCGATTGAGACACCTCCAAAACATGGTTTTTGAACGCATCGACTGCTTCTTCAGGTGTTGAAAATCGTTGTCCACGCATTTTTTTTTTGATGTGAGGGAATAAGAAGAAGTCATTGGGTGCTAAATCAGGACTGTAAGGCGGATGACCCATCAATTCGACATTTTGAGTGCTCAAATAGTCCATTGTTTCAGCTGATTTGTGAGAGCTTGCATTGTCATGATGAAGAATGATTCGCCGGCGCTTGTTTGTTTTCCTTATTTCTTCGAAAACTTTCGGCAAACAGATGGTGGTGTACCATTCAGAATTGACCGTCCTACGTTCCACTAAAGGTACTGTGGCCACATGACCGGTTATACCAAAAAAAAACGCGATCATTTGCTTCGATGTGCTTCTTCCACGAACAACTTTTGTTGGATTTGGCTCGTCTTGGAACACCCATACGGTCGATTGCTGTTTCGTTTCGGGCTCATATGCATAGATCCATGATTCATCACCTGTGACTATATTATAAACGTCTTTTGACGCACCGCGATTGAATTTTTTCAACATTTCTTTGCTCGAATCGACACGAGCCTTCTTTTGTGCAATCGTCACATTTTTTGGGATCCATCGACAACACACCTTTTTCACGGCAAGATGTTCATGCAATATCTTATGTACGCTGGTGGAACTAATGCCCAAGGATGCCTCAATCTCACAGTATGTCACATGCCGGTCCATCATTATCATTTCGCGCACAGCATCGATGGTTTCCGGCAAAACGACCGAAATTGGCCGACCTTCACGAAATTCATCCTGGAGCGAACGGCGTCCGAAACCAAACTCTTGGTACCAGCGATTTACAGTGGTTTTTGATGGTGCTTCATCACCAAAAGTCGAAACAAGTTGATCGAGACACTCTTGTCTCGATAATCCGCGCCGAAAATCGTAAAAAATCATCGCACGAAAATTTTCACGGGACAATTCCATTTTTTGACCGAGATGAATTTTTCAAGTCACTGTAAACAAAACAATTCGCGCTCGAATGACAAAACGTTCTGAGTGAAGTTGTCCTAAAAAATGTCCAACTTTCCAATGGAAGTGTCAGATTGCACCTGGCAGCACTAGTATTGCCAGGACCCGAAATATAAATAGTGACCCTCGTATACACAGATATTTTTATTACATTTGTTCGCATATTTTAAATATAAAATTTTTATTCATATGACTCTTTGATACTTGACAAAAGTGTCTAAAATTTATTCAAGTTCTTATATAGTATAAGAAAATTATTATGCGGGTATGAAATCCCAATGTGTAAAAAAAAATTATATTTGTTTTTTTTAACGTGCTGTTGAAAATTGAAAATATTTTATTACAATATAATTATAAGTTGTCCAAAAACTATATAGAAAAATAAGAAATGTTTAGAATTATTTTAATTGCATATATACACTCAGGTTTTGGAAATCATCTGTAAATCTCGTTTTTGTCTTAATGAAAGGCCTTTATATACTTTTAAAATTTCATTGAATCAAATGTTTTAAATATTCTTACATGTATTATAGGGACAATCTAAAGCGAGAATAATTTTTTTATAAGTCGCCGAGTTTTTTTTATAAGTATGAAAGTTTAAAGGTGTAAACGACTGTTTGATGATCTCGGTGTTACTTAGGGAATTTCTGTACTATTCTAACACGACTAAAGTGGAAATTAGTTTAACTAATAGAAATTATTTCATACAACCGCAAAACAGATAGATGACATAATAAAAGGAACGAAAAATTAAAAAATTTTTCTACTCAAACTGGAGTCGATCCAGCGACCTACCGCATTCTAGGCGGACGTTATCTGTCAGCTAAGTAACAGAGGTATGAAGAAAATACCTAGAAATTGCTTTTAGATATTTAGGTATCCCCTCTTTATATTGCTTTTTGCAAGATATACGTATTGTGCTTATTACACAAATGTTATTACTAATCCCCAATACAACGTCCACTTATTTAGGAATAACTTATAGGAATTCCTTCATATAACTGTACAACAGATGAATGACGTAAATAAAGTCAAAATTAATTCCAATCAAAGATGGTAATTAGTTCCTTGTTCAAACGATTTTTCTCAGAAATATCTGAATTAAAAATTGTTAAACTTTTATGCTTTCTGTTTCATTTTCAACTTTAAATTGTATGTACGACGCTTTAAATTAATTTTGAATAAAATTTATAATTATATTTAGTAATATATAGAGTTTGATAGAGCACGAAATCTAAATTTTTGGTATTTCGAGTAAAACAAAATTAAAATTTTTTTTGTGTTATTTTTGTTTTTCGAAAACAATAACTGGGGGAAATTTAGTGAACATGGTTTAAATGTAGAAATGAATATGTGCAGATGTTTAATTCTAATTACGCATATCTATATATCAATGAAGTGTCTATATTTCAATGGCTTGTTAGAAAATTTGATGATCTTGAGAAGTGAACAACTTCTTAGTTATACTTATAATGTTTTTTAAGGATTTTTTTTTTTTAAACCATTGAAAAAATTTAATTTTCTTTCTTCTTGATACAAGCGCTTAAAATTTTAAGTAATACGAGTACTACATTCATGATTCATAAATTGTAGTTGTCTGATAAAAAACCCTAGATATGTACAGAATCTACAATTTCCACTTTTTCACGGAATTTTATTATATTTTAAATTAAACACCTATATAGACTATAGAATTGTAGTGGCCTGTTTCAAATTAATTTTTGCAAACAAAAACGCTCTCAAGCTAAAAACATATTCATTTCATAGATATACATAACTTTCTTTACTACGAAATCAAATGCGCTTTAAATCCGATTATATACTGCAAAGTATGTAAGTTTTTTTTAATCTAATTGGCCA